ACTATGAAGCGTCAAAAGCGGATCACTTTCGTGACGCTTAGGACGAAGTACCCCTGGTCTGTATGCTCAACGAACTTAGAGACGTTTTCACGTCCAAAAAAGAAAAACTCACAGAGGCATGATGACGATCGTACGGGGCGGCTCGTCGCCGAAATGCGGAAAGGGCACGAGCGCTTTCAAGCTCGCTCATCTGTTTCCATTAATTACTTCGTTCGTTGGTTTTCGCCAGGAGCGAGTCTCTTCGCTCGGCCCACAGGTTGGTTTAAAGGTCTCCCATGGGTCTCTTTTTTCTGCAGGAGGGAAGCCGTTCCTTCTTCATTTTCCTCCTCTACGCTTATCCGTCCTATGCAATGCGAAGACAGCCATCACTTCATCTCTACTACTATGTTCGACGAGAGACTGCTATTCGATGTTGGAAAGAATCCCGGGTTTGTGACGTGACAGTCCCCCTCCGACCGAACTCCATCGGTCTCGAGGGAAGTCAGCCGAGGCAATGGAATCCTTCGGTGGAGGCACGCTCGTCAGTGGTGTGCAGTATAATTTTACAGGTGCGCGAGCACGCATTCAAGTCAGAACTCCATTCTCGGTGCGGAACGAAAGACAATCGCATCGAAGACGCGGGCATAAGGATGAAAAATGGAATTATCACCTGAATAGGCGCCTCATCCCCAGTTGCCGGGTCCAAGATCCCCAGGTCTAAGATATGCGTTTGGAACTCTCATTCGAACTCCGCGATGGAAAATCCTCGAAGACTCCGGGATCTTTTGATCGGGTATGATCTCCGATCGGGAGGAAGTCGAGCTCACTTTTCACGGGCTTTCTCATTTCGCATGCTCCCCACTGGCTCCCATGGGAACTTTGCCGATTATTTCGAAGATAAATGATATCTATATGCGTGTATATAGATATATACATATATTATAAGTGATATCTATATGCGTTTTCCCACCCCGGTTGCGAGCATTTGTTTCATTCGATCAGTATGCACACTCAGAAAGAACAGGAATACCGCCGAAGTTCCAATACATTGCCACAGCTGAGACTTCATGAGGAGGAAGGAATCGGCCATTCCCCTAGGGCTCGAAAAGCGATGGACCATCTGGTTCTATTGTTTGGTCTTGAAGGATAAATAGGAGTTGTCCAGATAATGGCGACTTCGTTCATCCAAATGGGATTCAATTCCCGATCACCATTATTATAGAGCAGCGTTTCCCAACCTTTTTGGTCCCGAGAACGCCCTGAGGTTGGTCGAGTGTCTCCGGTACCCCCTCCGGTACCCCCTACCCCTAGAAAACCAAAATTTAGGCTTGAAAGAAAAAAACAAGCTGATTCACAACATCACGATTCTCTACATTCATTTCTCAACTTATCTCTTTGGAAACTGCACAATATTTTGAGATCTACCAAGCCATCAACTATCCGCCCCGTTTAAACGTATGTACAGGGTGGCCGATTTAAATTGACACTTTTTTGAATGTACCGCCCGGAGCCGAGAAAATGCATCCATCCGCGAGCTACCGCGGGTGTTTGTGTCTGCACCTGTGGACCATTGAATAATAACAGAACCATGGCGGGAACTGATTCACGGCCTCCGGAGCTGGTCCGAAGACAAAGTATTGTGCTCGCGCTCCGCGCAAAAATGCGGCCGGCCGAGATAATCCGGAAGCTGAAACTCCCGAAGAAGACGGTGTACCGAGTCGCGAAAGTTTTCTCGCATGCAGAAATTTCGGAGGAAGGATCCTACACACCGGGGCGCGCAAAACTCACGTTCGAAAACGGCCGAAGCGATCTCCGAGACTCGTTAATGCCGTCCGTGAGCGAATTTCGAAGGATCACCACATTTCGCAACGACGCCTGGCCACGGAATATCGAGTGAGCCGTGATAATGTGCGAAATGTGATGCAAAAGGACCTTAAGTGCAAGGCCTATCGACCGAAAGTCCGACAAATGCTGTCAGAGGCAAACCGGAAAGCTCGGGTCGAGAGATGTGGACGGCTCCTTCAATCTTTGAAGACTGACACTGCTCGGTGTATCCGGTTCTTCTCAGACGAGAAAATCTTCACGGTCGACGAAAAATTCAACAGACAAAACCATCGATGTACTGTCACCTGTGCAGAGAATGCGTGAGAGGTCCCGAAAACGAAGTTCCCGGCGAGTGTTCATGTTCTCGGGGTGGTTTCAAGCCAAGGACATGTTATGCCTCCTTATTTCTTCGGTAGAGCTGAAACTGTCACGAAGGAGGTTTATCTGAGGGTTCTACAAGCTGTGATAAAGCCTTGGATGGATAGAGTGAGCGATGGGAACCCATACGTCTTCCAGCAAGACGGCGCGCCGGCTCACACGAGCCGTATGGTTCAAGATTGGTTATCGTCGAATGTGAACATGTTTTGGCCAAAAGAGTTCTGGCCCCCTAATAGTCCCGATCTTAATCCGATGGACTATTATGTGTGGAGCGCTTTTGAATTGAGGTCCAACAAAGAACGCCACCCGAACACCGCCTCACTCACCCTCGCCATTAAGCGGGCGTTTCGTGCTCTTCCGAAGCATATTGTAAAAAGAGCCTGCGGTAGCTTCCGACGTCGGCTCGAAGCCGTCGTAGCCAACAATGGGGGTTACATTGAATAAACATCTTCGTAAGGGTACAGAGATTTTGCCTCTATAGTATCTTGAACCTCCGACCTGTTTTCATTTAGCTATGCCTTCTCAAAGTTGCTTGTAGCGAAAGTGTCAATTTAGATCGGCCACCCTGTACATATCACACCCGCTAGTGAGATTTTTGCTGTTGCCGGTCATGCAGCAGTTAGTCCATCCGGAGTCTTTGGCGCGGTCGATAGCTCTTACCCATCTTATCTATCTTCTGCCGCAAAAATTCTTATGGCTTCCGGTACCCCTCGGGAGAGCTCCTGGTACCCCCAGGGGTACTTGTACCCCCGGTTGGGAAACGCTGTTATAGAGCATTCGTGAGACTTAAGCTCTTTCAATAATCGCGCCCAACTTAGAGCCGGAGCAAATTCGGATATCTGACTCCTGGTCATTCGTATTGGGGGAACTGGGGCAGCGTCCCGTTCCTCGATCGAATTCAAGAACCGATTCACCCATGCACTCCTCTAGGACAAATGGTGTATTCGCTCGAGTCACGACAATGCGTGGGAGACAATTTCGCTTGCCGGACGCCATGCCCGAGTCTCTGATCACATCGCCCCCCTTGACCCCAACGAACGAATGACGGGAAGGAGAAGCGCGGAGGATTCGTTGAGGGAAATTCCTTCCTGAATCAGGGTCGCCCATGAATATGATAGGAAAGTATAGGCATGGGCGAGGACCGATATGAAACCATAAACATGAACCATGAGCGATTATTTACGAACCGGATTGCGAGGGTATCGGTGGGAGCCGGAATTTCTTCTTCTTCTACTTTCATCCCGAGAAAGAGCTTCACGCGAGTGACCTCGTTTGCGCCGTGAACAAACGTCGGAATAATTCATCAGGAATGTTGTGGGCTGATTCCTGACGGCTATAAACCCTCACACGGAGACCGAGGGCTTATGCTCGACCGCGACACACGGCTCGATCGGGTAAAGTGCACGTAGAGGCACGTAGCGTGAGAAAAGCCGGTTCTCGGTCCAACAAGGTTTTTAGTAAACGGTCGAGAAGAGAGGCCAGCTTCCGAGGTCATTCAACTGAGCAACGGCTGGAAGCAGGAGCATACGCCGACAACGCAGGACAGACAAAGGCAGGACGGGAAACGGTTGGCTGGAATCCAATATGTGAACCTTTGCAAAAACGCTACCGGGGTGGATTGCTAGGCTTCCGAGTCTCGACAGCGCCCCCGGAGCGCGAAATCGTTCGTTGCTCTTGCGTGAAGTACCCCGTATTTCGCCGAGCTCTTCTCTCAGACGAAGTGTCTCGTATCGATGCCAGAATCGGCTTGATCTCCGCTTGGCAATGCCGCAGGAGCCGTTCAGTCCCGGAGGGCGTTGCGAGCTTTAGGCTCCCTGGCGGAGCGAATTAGTGGATATACACGTGAGGAATAATGGTCGAGCAAGCATCCGTTCCACGCCTGGCGGATTTATAGTCCTATAAGCCTAGGGAGCCACGCTGTCGCGTCATCGATAATGGACCCGATGGAGGCCAGCTTAAGGAATACGCTTATAAAAATGTCGGCCATCGCCTTTCCATTTTACAACGTATCTACAGCAGTAAGTGACGACACCAAGAAAGCTTCGACGAGCTCGAGGATCGAGGAATCAGACTTAAAATTCTCGAAAGTTCATTGTCTGCTGCTTCGCACCGGATCGGGAGATGGGGGCTTTTGGTGTAAGTGCAGTGTACTGCGGTTGACTCCTCCATGAATGGAGACAATGTTTATGTATGAACGTCTCGTGCTTGCTCGGCGCTCAGTTCGCCTTCCCCACCCAGATTCCGACCGAGCAAGCAGGACTCTCGCTGTGATCTCCGGAGCCTTGCGGGTCAAAGTGCGTTGTAAACAAGAGGGCAGCACTATTGGGTCACAGGGGCTTGATCCATTCGCGATCCTGTTTCGTTGAGAGCTCCTGCAAAGCAGCTCGTTTATGCAAGAGCCTCGAGTCCTGCGAAGAATAAACACGATCGCGAAAGATGAGGAGGGACGTGGGGAGCTGCCCGATTCAAAATGCGCGAACAAGGCGCAATTTCGGCGTAGCTATGAGATACGGACTCAGAAGAGCCCGATTTTTTCGACCGTACGATTAGCAATATCTGATGGAAATACATCTCGCAGATGGGCGTATGACCTTTGCTCCTCGATTCGCTATCCTTCTCCGGCTGGATCGGCAGACGGTGCATGCTATCAGCTAGTCCCGTGAGTGAGCCATATACATGGCCGTTATAAACTAATTTCGACAAGGCTACGAGGGAGTCTCCGAATTCGTCTTTCTTTTTTCGAGTCAACTTTTTTGTTCGGCTGACACGCGGCTCGGAGGATCACCGAGAAGGAAACGGATCCCTGGAATCATCTGGCAATGCCCGCGCTCTTGTCAAGAAACTTGCCGTCGCAAGCTTTCAGGATCTTGCTGCTGCAAATAATCAAATTCGTTCAACGTGACTATGTGGTGCCCGAAAACTTGAGTGAGTAACCCGCGAGCGGACGGTGGCTAATTATCTCACTGAGTCTGACAGCCGGCGCGACTCGAAAGCACAGTGCTTGTTTCGCAATTTAATCTTCGATGAGCCCAAGGCCAGAGCATGCGCACCTCGTGTGAGATGCCCGGAAGGAGGCGGTGGAGGTTTAATGAGGAGCAAACGAATATCCGAATCGCCTCAGGCACCATGTATCATGCGTAAGCAGGAGTTAGAGCAGCGATTGCGCTCGAGACGGGAAACTCCGCTTTCTTCGGCCTCGACGAGCTCTTCAAGCCCGAAATTCCCACGGAATAGGAGACTGATGGATCGAACGTCTTCTCATTCAGGTCTGAAAGATCTTCTGCGACTCTTTGTTTGCCAAGTATACTTCGCACATGGCCGACGAAAACGACTCCCAAAGTACGATTATGATAAGAAGGATCCGTATAGCCGCGGAATCTTATTCTGGGAGGAGGAAAAACGGCTCGAGTTTCCGGTGCCTCGACCTGCTATCGATTCCATGGTTAGTTCAGAATCGACTTCAGCTTCTGTGTAGGTACTTCGAGAACTTGAAGCTGCTCCGGGAGGATGGACACGTTGCTCATCCGTGTCGGGGGGTTCCGTACACTTGACAGCCCCCCGGCCCCAAAAGGTTGAGCTTCGGTAGATCCAATGAGGGGTAGTCTGGACCTCGATGAAGCCCAACTTGCTTTTTGAAGGTCCAAATTACACAGCTCGACAGCCAAATCGTTACAAAGAAAGTGATAGCTATTTCGGGGTAAACCGGGGGCGCTGAATCCGAATTTCGTTACAGATTTTCTCCATCAGGTCTAGTTTTTCCGAAATTTCAATTTTTCGACTTTTTGCCATTTTTCGTCTTCCAAAAATTCTAGCTCCGCCCCTGAGTGGACTAGATCGATGAAACTTTGGTGGCGGATAGACCTCGGTTGGAGCTATACCTGGCCGAGTTTTGGTGCGACTCGTAGCAGTGGTCTCTGAGCTAGAGCCATCGGAAACTAAAAAAAAGAAGAAAAAAGTGGGAGAGGGACCTGCGAGGGATTTGCGAATAAAAACTGAACGGATCGACAAATTTGCTCTGCTTGGTCTCAAAATGCTCGTAAAAGCCTCCTCTATCGAATTGTCGAGGTCAGACCGCTTCAAAGGTCCTAGTTTTTCCGTCAAGTGCTCTCTAAGAGGTCCCTCTCCCACTTTTTTCTTCTTTTTTTTAGTTTCCGATGGCTCTAGCTCAGAGACCACTGCTACGAATCGCACCAAAACTCGGCCAGGTATAGCCCCAACCGAGGTCTATCCGCCAACGAAGTTTCATCGATCTAGTCCACTCAGGGGCGGAGCTCGAATTTTTTGAAGACGAAAAATGGCAAAAAATCGAAAAATTGAAATTTCGGAAAAACTAGACCTGATGGAGAAAATCTGTTAAGAAATTCGGATTCAGCGCCCCCGGTTCACCCCGAAATAGCTTTCACTTTCTTTGTAACGCGAAAAAAGTTTTTTTTATCGAGCTGTGTTATCGTAGGCCTGGAGCCGGGGTAATTCTGCCTTTGACGAGAACGATTGCTTCCTATTCCTCTCAGGGACCACAAGAGCTCCTGCTGACCGCATTCCGGACATCGGGAGAACTTCTGGTACTCAGATTCGTCCGCGCAGACCACCGGCAAGCCGAAGCGAGTATCCTCCTGAGAGACTCTAAAGGTCGAACGTTCTCATCGCCGGTCACCGGGGACCGGAAACTGCTGCTTGACATCAGCCGCGGGAATAAGTTTCAGGTCTTTTTCTCCGTCAACCTCTCTGGACTTCAATGCTTCTTTTCATGAATTGAGACGTCCCTTGCTAGATCGTATGGATGAAAAATGCGCCACAGATTCATGACGTTCATTTCTCACTCGAAGGGTGGCGGCCTCCGAATGCAGTGCATAGAGCCCATGAGGAAATGGCGTGTTGCTTTCAACGGACTGCTCGTGTGAGTCTTTGACGTCGAGACGGCGCGATTCCGCGCAGAATTCGCATGCGTGCGCAGTCTACGGAATCGCCTGATTTTGATGCGAATCTTGTCTAAAAATATCTATTCTCACACAGGAACAAAAATACGGGATCTTCCGCCTACGTTCGCTTCGCTTTCTGGTCGGTATCCGAAATTGATCGTTCCCTCGTGATGAATAAAGTCCTCCCGATCATTTGCAGTGTATGCTCCCATACGGAATTCCAGGTGGTTTGCTATTTCCCATGTGGCGGACTACTCCCGCGAAGTCCCCCCGAAACGATTGTTCAACTTTTGCCTCGACCCGAAAGTCGACGAGAAGCTCTCGGAAACGGTGGCTAGCATAGAATTGTTCGTCACCATCATGTTTCTGGTTTGATTCTATATTTTCCTCCAGTTGATGCTTCGAGATGAAGCATCTTCATCATGGAGCATCAGAAAGCGAGACCGATTCCCGTTTCGTAGGTGTCGCGAATACCTGAATGGCTACGGGCAGAGTGGATGCTGCGTGGGATCGGTGCAAGTCTTGGTCAAAGGAAACCAAAGCAACACCAAGCAAGAGCCAGAACAGGAGCTTCACATGCGCGGAAATTTCTTGAGAATCCGTCACCCGAAACCTTCTCTAACGAGCTCCATAAGACTCGAAGGCTTCACGCACAGCTTCACATACAGTACGAAGGGTCATCTGCTTCATCTTTCGACGCTAGAGTTCAGCAACGGGAGGAACATAATTTTCGGAAGTTTCCTATCAACTCCCGGTTTCCAAGACCCGATCGAAACAATCACGAATGAGTATGGATCAGAAGCCAGCCTAGAAGATGTCCTCTACGCACCGAAACTCAAATTCAGTACTTGTGAGCAACATTTTCCTCCACTCTTATTTCCCTTATATTCTTCATCATCCAATCAGGTTGATCCGCTTTGAAGATTCCGAAAAACTTTTCCCCTTTGCAAGTTGAGCTCTCCCATGGAATGCTGAGATCAGAGGGCTGTGCGCAGAGCAACTTCAGATCTCATCTTGGATGGAACAACCGAGTCCAAGTGTCGACTTTCGAAGCGCTCTTGGACAATATACCGGCGAAGGGATTGACAATCCAAGGACTGAAGTGAGCGTAATAGCTGCAGGGATTCTCGCAAACCTAATATTGGTATTTGACCCGGGTCCATCTCCGGGGATTCCATCTTAAGGTTTCGGCTTTCCAGCGCAGTGCATACAGACGAGTACCCCTTGAGCGTACCCATGAATATCCTGGATCACGGTGGGTATCTGTTTTCGCTGCTCTCGAAGGCTTCTGCAGTTGTCCTCTATTCGATAAATGATTTGCAGAAGATTGAAATGTGGCTCTTTCGCGCTGTTCCCGACAGATGTCATGACGATGCCCCCTCCCTTTGTGGTTAGTCTTGGAGATCCACAATGCAAGAACACCGCATTGACCGGAGGCAAAGGCTCGTCTCTCGCCGTGCTTTCTGATCTTTCGACGCTTGACGATGGATTCTACGAGTTCAGCGTTCCGAAGGGTGTTGTGGTCACAACCGGAGCCTTCCGTCGCTTCATGCAGTCACCCGCGATGTATTCAACAAAAAAGACCTGACCGGAGTTCTTCACGCGACGACATTGGAGCAGATCAAGGAGATCTGTGATCGGTGCCGAGCAAACGTCGAGGAAGAGCACCTACCATCTACGATTGCGGAAGACATCCTGCACCATCTGTACGGAATATTCCCCGACCTACCCAAGAAACGCTTTGCGATCCGCAGCTCGAGCGCTGGCGAAGATTCTGAGGACATGTCCGCAGCCGGCCAGATGGAGACTTTCTTAGGGGTCTGCGGGGAGAAACAGGTATTAACATGGCATATGCCAGCATATAGAAATAGACAAGGCTGAAATAGATGGGAATTCCTTTCGTTGCTCCGATTTAGTGAAGTCTCAGAACGAAATTCCCGGGCTACGAAGTTTTGAGGAAGCGGTGGAATTCCTCACAGCGATTGTAGGTACGCTGGATGATTGCTATTAGCGGATCGCCTATTATTTCAGATCCTCGAATCAGTCCTCAAATGCTGGGCTTCCCAATTCAGTCACGTCGCCGTAGAGTACAAGAAACGTTTCGGGCAAGAACTGATCGGCGATATGGCTGTGGTGATCATGGAAATGGTTCCGGCTGACAGCGCGGGCGTAATGTTCACGTGCGACCCTCTCACAGGAGACCCCTCCTCGATCTATATCACCTCGAATTTCGGTCTCGGGGAGGTAAGGCCTCGCGACTGAATTACGTCACTTGTCTTTTCGCCTAATACCGGTCCTGCTCGCGTATTGAATACTCCCTTCCGGCTATTCCCGACCGCCGCGATCCCCGAACGGATTCCGAGGCCAACTCTTCCACAGAGCGTGGTGTCAGCCATGGCCGATCCTGACACTGTCCGTGTGAACCGAGACATCGATGGGAAGCTCTCCGTGAGTGACGTGACAGTGGGCAAGAAGGGTGTCAAAATCGTCATGGACGACAGTGAGTTCATCGAGAGGACGACGACGAAAATAATACCGATCTAATCATGAAGGGAATTCTTGCATATGGCCTGTGTTTCCGGGAAAAATTTGATTCCACGCTACAGACGGCGGAGGCACCCGAGTGGAGAGTATCGGAGATAATAACTCGTCTTCTCTGAGTTCAACTCAAGCTGCCGTTTTGGCTGGAGTTGGGGTTCAGATCGAACGTTGCTTCGGCGATTGGAGAGACGTCGAGTGGGCATTCGTCCGAGATACTCTCTACGTGCTGCAAGCAAGACCTGTGACCTTCATTGACAAACCATCTGAACTCGAAACGGCCACCGAATTTGAAGTTCCGGCCAGAGCCGAATCCTGTGGATACTCCAGAGCGAACGTTGGGTGAGTTGGAACCGCGCGATCATCGACGAAGGACACGCTATTGGCAGTGAATTGCGGATGCTTATTCGCTCACCTCGAACGCTGACCTTCCAGGGAAGTATTACATGGCGCCATATCTCCGCTGTCGATCAAGTTGTTGAACAGAGTGATGTCCATCTCACTTGGGGTAATCGAGATCCTTACCCGTTACTGATGGCGAATTCCCTCGAGAGAGGAAAATCGCGCCCGACAAGCAGCGTGAAACGATCGGTAGTAACGGATGATATCTTCTCCAGAAATTCAGAGGCAGGAATGCTCGGGCGAGACGCTGCGCCTTGACACCCTACTACGATTCGCTGCTTAGAGTGGCTCGCTACCAATATTTCTTCGACATGTCCGAGGTTCGACATAATGAGACTATCTGCACCGCGGTAGCTTCTTCCGCAACGTACAGCTGGTCACTCTCTCATTGATGAATGCAGGCGCTCCGTACGTTTGTCCCTGATCCCACGGACAAAGCCCAAGTCGAATCATTGATGCTCAATTTGTGTGGCCGCATCATAGATGATGACGAGCTCTACGAGGACATGGACGACAAAACCGACAAAGAGCCTTACACGCCTTTCTGGTCGAAGAATATCGAACTTTTCAAGGTTCGTCCCAAAGAAAATTCCCATCGTGAATCGCTGGGTAAACGTCTGATGAGAGTAGAACGACTCTCATGCCTAAAATTCCTGCCATCAATGCCTAAGCAAGAAACTGCTCCACTCTGATGGGGGTTCTGTCGGGAGAGCCCACGAATGAAAAACATCATCTCTTCTCTCCTCGCAGATGAAGTACATGTCGAGACAAATCCTAACTTTCAACCGATATATGGCTAGGAAGAAATCAAAATATCCGGAGAGCGATATGACTACCCGGGAACTATTCGACGGTCTCATGCGCGCCAATAACGTCCTGATCGATCACGGTTGTCATCCCCACTTCCATGCATCGAATGGCTCGTCACTCTGGACCAGTCGCATCGTGGAGTATCTACGGGGGATAACCGACGGTAAGACTATAAGGCCGCCATCCCGGGAGAATCGCCAAAGAATTATATATAGCCCTCTGAGAAGCCCTGATCCCTCCCACGCCCCCGCCTCTTCGGAATGCCCGCGCGTCTACATTATGCGCGGGATTTGATCGTTATTGAATCATTGAATGAGCGGGATATATTCCTGTAGAGAGTGTGGAGACGATATACGGACAAATGTCCCGACTCCTTGCATCGGCGGACGACGTCGTCAGTTGCGAGGTACCGAGAAGATTGGAGGTCAGTTCGCTAGGTTTCTCCATAGAAAATGACACATCCGTTGATGAGACATAGTTCCGAGCTCTATAATACCTCGAAACATCGATTTTCCGCCGCAGAAACTCAGTGCCTTGATAGGCTCAGAGATCGGTAAAGAGAAGTTCCTCGACTGCTCGGCTGAGGCCGCACAAGACTTACTGAAAGACGAGGATCACTATCCGGAGTCCGTAGCTGAGTTCAGCCGTTTTCTGAAAGACTTTGGACACCGGGCGTACAACGAGCTCGACCTTTATAGAAAGTCTTGGGATATGGACGCTACCCCGGCGATAACGTCTCTGCAAGCCATGATTCGGAGTACAATGAACGGCGCCCCGAAAGAGCATGAAAGCATCTTCAAATCTATCCAGGGTATGGAATGCAGACTCTCTCCGTGGCAAAAGTGAGTTGGTCGTGGCTCCTTGCAGTGAGTGAGCTAGATTCACGGGCGAGATAAATCGATGCTTCTCCTTTATACGTCATGCGCTCCGACTCACGAAAATCTGACCCTCCGAAGATGCCGACTGGCAGCAATCGTTCATTTCTCGAGGAAAGCCATCGGCATCCGAGAGCACACGAAGTCTCTCTGGATTTGGAGTCAGAATGTGGTGCGCAAATGGTCATGGGCTCTCGCCCGGAGAATGAAGGAGGAAGGTTTTCTTCCCGACGAGAGACTCCTTTTCTTCTGCACACCCGCGGAGCTCGACGAAATACTGCGTACTCGCAACCCCGCGATTATTTCAAGGTGAGTGACCGTATAGACGCTCTGCCCATCTCGTCATCCGCGAATTTCTCTGAGAGGGCGAAATATTTCCCCAGAGCTTTCGAGAGAATGAAGTTGTTTCCCGAGATGGTCAATCAGGAGTTTCGTGAATACTTCCGTGGTGTCCCTCGTCCGGTGAGATTCCCGACAAAAAATTCCTGAAAATCACGCTATCGGAGTTTCAATAGATTGCTTTAGTTAGCAGTTAGATTGCTTCCGATTGCTTCCGCAGGAGGACTTGATCCAAAACTTTGATTTCCCAGGACCCGGAGCCGACGCCTGTCTTCGAGGATGGCGTGGTGCAAATGAGAGGTTTTCCTATAAGCAGAGGCAGAATCCAAGGGAGGGCGAGAGTGATTAACAAATCGGAGGACGCCGCTCAGATCCAGGTATTCCCGCTTTCGAAATTCCCGGAGTTATCAAAGGACCTCACGGAGCTCCGAGGGAGCCACTCCTTGGTTCAAGGTGTATGAATTTTGCGCTCAAATAGTCCCCGGGTGCTGTTCGTGGAATTTCTGGCGCCGTATCGATGACCAGGCGAATCATTGAAGCATCACGTTTTCCCGCAGGATGGAGAGATTCTGATCACAAACGCGACAGACATCGGCTGGTCTCCTTACTTTCCGATGCTCGCAGGAGTGGTCACGGAGCTCGGGGGCCTCATGTCCCACGGCGCCGTCGTCGCGCGGGAATACGGCCTACCGTGCGTGGTAGGCCTCCTAGGAGCAACGAAAGTTTTCCGCTCCGGAGACACAGTGCTTCTGGATGGTTCTCAAGGTCTATTGGTTAGGATCGAAGAGGCGCTGTAGGTCCGATGCATCCGACCACACCGTTTCGAGCTTGTTTCTGAAATAAAAAAATCCGGACGAAAGTTTGTTCCCGATGCGTCAATCTGGAGCAGTTCCATAGGATTCGAACGAACCGAGTGTATTTCGTTCGAGCCACGCTGCGATTTGCTTTCCATCGCCGCATGCCGTCTACTACGTCTTCACGTTTTTTGCGTCTTGGTCAATAAACCTTCTAGAACTCGAGTATAAACGTTGAGACTTTCCATTGATTTCCGGCGTCGCGTTCTGTGTCAGGACAATTAGGAACAATGAGGAAAGTGAAACTTTCCTCCAGGTTTCGGCACAGGCAATGTCTCCCATGGGACAGACATCTTCTAAGGACTGATCAAAGCGTATAAGTTTCGTATGCGTAGCGAGCCCATAGTCGCACCGTTTACTCTTCAAATCGAGAGTACAGTGCGCGCGCAGAGATATCGCTCGTTCCTGATTCGGGGTCCGCGCGCAGGAGAGATCGCTAACTCTGAGAGAACGAACGAGAGGCCCGGGGCCTGAGGAGTACGGTCCGGCCCGAAGGGTGGCTGCCAGTGAGCCCGCTCGATCACCAGAGATGGCTTCGAGATTCGCCAAGGCTCGAGCAGAGCAAGACGAGGAGCCGAATCTGCGCCTGTAGTCTGAGCGCCGGGCTCTCTTTGCTCTGCCCTCTATAGACCCCGAGGAGGTCTGCGTCGTTTGTGAGTAAGCGATCGTGTTCAACTCAGGTGTTTTTGAGAGGAAATTGCGCTCAAGCGGGTTCGCTTTGATTGTTTCGTTACTGTCCCTTCGTGAGAGCTGCTGTTTCGTTGACGGGAGGAGCGAAGAGAGCGGGAAACACGATGGCGGATCGCGAGAAACTCGTACAACTTGCCAAACTGGCTGAGCACGCTGAAAGGTGAGAACATTTAACTGAGGGATTGAATCGTGACTCGAATGCGAGGATCGGATATTGCCGCCGAAATCCTCGATTTCCAAGAAATTCTCTCGTGTATAGTTTTCCGATCGGCTACGATGCGAATTCGAGGCGCGACACATCTGGTTCTACGCAGTGTTCCGCTTACCGTCTCGGAACCTGGGGGTCATAACTTTTAACCAGAGCGGCGAAGCTTTCGGTCGAACTGTAGCGTAAACAAACATTTTCCACTGTTTGTGAAGCATCCGGTGCCTTACGGCGGCTCTCAACAGTATCGAGACACCGGGATTTTCTCCGTGGCGAGAGCACGGTTCGCGGCTCGCTTTGAGGATCCGAGAGCAAAGCTGCGTCCTGAGTCATCATTTCTCGAGCCGGAAAACTGATTCTCCGAACGATTTCCAGGTATGACGACATGGCAAACGCCATGAAAGAGCTCACGGAGGGGAGCGGTGCCGAATTGTCCAACGAAGAGAGAAATCTCCTCTCGGTTGCCTACAAAAACGTTGTCGGAGCTCGCAGGTCCGCGTGGAGAGTGATCTCCTCCATCGAATCTAAAACCTCCCAAGCCAATCAGCAGCAGATCGCGAATGAGTACAAACTGAAAGTCGAGCAAGAACTCAAGGATATCTGTAACCAGGTGAGAATCGGAGTGCTCAAGACGAGAACTTCGTTCCGTACGCCTAAAGGGTTCTTTGCGTCGTCATTCAGTGATGATGCATTCGAGTATCCTCTGAGCGGGAAAAGGACCAATTAAGTAGGAAGCTTTTTCTCCCAATTACAAGCATGTTCTTTGCTTTGCAGGTCCTTGCTCTGCTGGATGGATTCCTGATTCCGAAATCCACGTCCGCCGAGTCCAAAGTGTTCTATTTGAAAATGAAAGGAGACTATTTCCGCTACCTGAGCGAAGTCGCCCAGCCCGCCTGTCGCGACGAAGTGGTGAACAATTCTCAGACCGCGTACCAGGAAGCCTTTGAAATGGCCAAGAGTAAGATGCAGCCAACGCACCCAATCAGGTCTGTTTTCCGAGTTTTCCGATTTATAAATCAATCAATGATTATTATCATCAATCATTATTATGTCCGGGTCCCGAGGTGGGCATAGGTTATCCCGGGTTAGAATGGAACGTACACGTTGGCTAAGCGAGCGATCGATCTGCAGGTTGGGTTTGGCGTTGAACTTCTCTGTATTCTACTATGAGATCCTGAATGCGCCGGACAGAGCTTGTCACCTCGCAAAACAGGCCTTCGACGACGCCATCGCTGAGCTCGACACGTTGAACGAAGAATCGTACAAGGATAGCACTCTAATTATGCAGCTCCTCCGGGACAACCTCACATTGTGGACGTCCGATACCCAACAGGAGGAAGAAGCACCCGCACAGTAATGGCATCAGATGGCTTCCAAGCCGGTCCTCGCCTCCTTCTACGATTCGATCAGACATCGGCCACTTGAATAGGTGTGATCCGATCTATCCGAGGAGCCACTCAATAACACCACTAGAACACATTCACTCACTACTCACTCACATGCTAGGGCTCTGTGATATCCGGCTGACTTTCTTTAGAAAAGTTTGATATTGAGACACCATTCGTCAGTTCATCGAAAAAGCCGAAGCGGGCGCCAGCGAAACTTCCTCCGAACAAACTTGCGGTCTTCTCGAACGCGTAACAAGCGATCGCCGCGAAAGAAGGAACGAATCGGAAGAACAGAATCGAATCCGGCTTCTTTGTGTAGAGAGAGAAAACTGCACCGAGGCATCAGTATGGTATTACAATTTTAATATCTGTCGAATTCGTCGTCTGTTGACAGGATCACGTTCACAGTTTCTCTATGGATAGAGATTTCTAGATGAGGATTTCCAGGAAGTCGCTCACTTTCACTTCGAACTCGTCGTTTGCCCACCTCAACTGCCATGATCTGCATCAAAGATAATGAACACCAAACTTCTCTTTGTTCATCAAAATAAAAAGTTAATATATCACTTCCGGAAACCCGTGGATCGATTCCCTTAGCCGACCGGAGCCCGTGTTATTATAAGCTTCCCGCACTGAGATTCTCCCAGGCTTCTGATCATACGATTTGGGTATGCTCCATGAGTAGACTTAGTAGTCTCCACCGATCTTTGGCATCAACCTCCGACCAGACGGCTAGACAGCCGTGAGCATCGATTGATGGAAAGTGGAATCTCTCAGATGACGCTCTCTCCGAATGATATCCACTGACGACGGCGCCGCAAGCTGTTTCACACTGAGGAAAGGACAATTAAAAATCACCCTTTGATCGATACCATGCATAGGTCGCCAAGGGATCGTCAGACTTACTCCTCGGTCCAGCAACACGATCCGATACGACTCCGTATTCCTAGTTGACAATAAACTTTCCAGGTCCTAAAGGGCCGTGGAGCGAATCTTTGGTGGGAAGTGGGAATCTACAGCGAGGTCTTGCTATGAATCAAAACAATTCAAGACCGCTCCACCCTAAACCCCATATACATATGTACATACATACTCGATTAGCCATATCGAGCTCCGAGTCGCCGCTACCGGTATGAGAAACCACTGTGAGTTTTTCCACCGATGCGGTATCCAATCCAAGAGACGATGCGCTAGGAATCTCACAGCTCCGTTCTGATCTCCATGGCGGATGAAGGAAAACGACACCGACCCCGAGAGAAGCCCCGCCTGGCTGATACATATAAGGAATGATGACCACACGCGGAAGCCAGTGGACTCGATCGCTCAGCGGCGAGCCATCGCTTGTAGGAAAACTAGCGGAGAACCATCCGTGTGCGCCGGAGGGGGAAGGGGTGATATCGCGGCTTGTCATGAGGAGAGTTATTTTTCGGAAAGACATCAAAGAATCGAGGAAATTGAGCAATCGAGCGAATGGTATCTCCAGATTTGAGAATCCTGAACTCCAGCGTAGCGTAGGCGGCGTGTCGGGTGACAGCTGCACGATTGGATCATCGAGATAGAAACACGGGCTGCGTAAATCAAGGACAAGCAATATCACCTCATTCGCTCCGACCACCCGAACTCATAGTCGCTCATCTTTGCGGAGAGGTAGCTTGGTGTTTTCGCGAGACGGCACCGGCTTCATCACATGTTCTCATTGGATGATGTTGCATGTTCGACCCGTGTTCCATGACTGTTCTGCTTGCTTCACCGACGCAATATCGAGAAATCGCAATCATCGCTCATCGGAAACGAGAATCTCGACGGAACAAGAGCCAAGCTACAAAACTAAATGTGCCGATTACGCTGGCAGAATTCCGACAGACACATCCACTTGTAGCGAAGACTCCAGCTTTGTTGCTGTTACGTATTTTTTCGGTTGACTGTGATACCCGAAGGTAGAGTCGGGTTATCTGACTGCGGTCGCGTATCTTGCAAGGGTATTTCTGGTTATTTATTCAATTTGATTGACAATGTCTCACGGCCAGGGCCCAAACCGCGTATTCTCCCTCGGCTTGCCTCCGCGTACAGTGTCATCACGTACGGATAGGAAAGGATGACAGAACTATTCCACGCGCACGTTTATAAAATGGAGCGATCATCTGCGACAGAAGTTTGAGCCAAATCGTTGCCAATCTTCGGCTCTCCGATATAACACATCTCGGAGTGGTTTTGAGGTACACGAGAAATGAAGTGGCTTCTGGTGGCCACCGTGTGTGTGTTGGCGGTCGACGGAGCGAAACAAATTGTTGGTAATGCTTATCAGTACCCGTTACCCGGTGGAGGAGCGACAACGTTCATCAAAGGTCCCGCCTACGCCAATCAAATTCAATCGCTGGCCGCTAATGGCCCTCTGGCAGGCCGGAGCGTACTCCAGGGTACAGTGAACAGCTTCACTTACGCACCGCACGGTACGTTCGCAGCTCAAGTGAATCGTGTCGTGGTCCCACAAGCCGTCTCTACGCCTTTGGCCCCGGCACACGTGAGTCATGGGATCGTGCAGCCTCATCCCCTAGTCAACCGCGTCGTTCATCATTATCCAGCTCCAAATGTCGTCGTTTCGTCTCCCCGGGTCCTCTCGGTGCCAGGACCGCAGATCTCCATCAGGAGTCCGCAAACGGTCGCGGTTCAAGCACCACGGCTCGCGATCCGAGTTCCGCAGGTCGTGGCCAGCCCGCAGAGATTCAGCTTCAGAGCACCCCAGCAGGTGATTGTCAACTCGGCACCTCAAGTTTTCGTCTCGAATCCGCGAATTACCGTGGCACGTAATCCCAATGTTGTCGTTTCGTCCCCGAGGGTCCTCACAGCACCAGCCCCGGTCAGAATTGTACCCACACAGGTGGTTACAGCTCGTGCTCCACAAATAACTTATTCAGCTCCTCGAGTCGTCTCAGTCCCCGCACCCCGGGTCACGGTCAGCGCTCCGCAAATCTCAGCGGCCCCAGCCCCTCAGATAGCATTCAGACCCGCGCAAGCGACGACCGTCCGAGCACCACAGATCGCCATATCGGCCCCACGCGTTATTGCGAACCCTGTCCCGCAGATTGCCGTGTCCGCTCCGAGAGTATTCTCCACTCAGACTCCCCGAGTCACGATCGGGGCTCAACAAGTATTCGCAGCCCCGGCTCCCCAGGTCGTAGTGAGACGTCCTCCTGCGCTAGCCATTCAGGCACCGAGACTAACGTTGGGGATTCCTCGGCTTACCGCAGCTCGGGTCCCGCAAATCACGGTGAGGAACCCGCAGATCATCGCAGCTCGACCGAGCCAAGTCACCGTGGGAGCCCCGCAATTGATCACGGCCCGCGCCCCTGTGATCTCCCTGAGGGCTCCGCAAATCATCGCCGCCCGTGCGCCCCCAGTGACTATCGGAGCTCAACAGATACTCGCAGCTCCGGCCCCCCGAGTCACCGTCAGCAGTCCGCAAATCGTCGCGGCCCCGCAATTCGCTGTCAACGCCCCGCGGTTGGCTCAGGGCCCTATTTCGCAGGTCACATTGAGCTCCCCCCGAGTATTCTCTGCTCCGCAAGTCACCGTCAGAGCACCCCAAGTCATCTCAGCTCCAGCTCAGCAAGTAGTATTCACTTCTCCGCGGGTTATTTCGGCTCAAGTTCCCCAACAACTCACCGTGGACACGCCCCGTGTCAGCGTGAGCACGCCACAAGTCTACTCGGCCCCTGCCGCCCAAATAACCCTAAGCAACCCCCAAGTGGTCTCTGCTCCGCGAGTCACCGTTAGAGCCCCTCAGGTGGTTTCAGCTCCTGCTCCGCGAGTAGTTTTCAATTCTCCGAGGGTCCTCACGGCTCAAGCCCCCCAGCAGATCACCGTCGCCGCCCCGCGGGTCACCGTGAGCCAGCCACAGGTCATATCAGTCCCTACGCCAAGTGTGGCCATCCGTACCCCGCAATTGGTCTCGGCCCCGACCCCACAAGTATTCATCAGTTCTCCGCGGGTTTTCTCGGCTCAAGCTCCGCAGCAAATTACGGTGAGCGCTCCTCGACTGCTCTCGGCGCCAGGTCCTCAAATCGCCGTCAGTTCTCCGCAGATCATCGGTGCTCGAGCTCCTCAGATCAGTTTCTTCTCCGCCCCTCGATCGTTGCGGCCCGCGATAACGAGCTTCATCGGGAGCGCCTACTTGGCGAACAATTATCTTCCTCAACGATCGACTCTCGTCACTCCCGTTACGCGATTCGCTTCACAGCCAGCCGTATTTTCGGTGAGAGTTCCCTCGGCGACTGTTGTTGGAACTTCGCAAAACCTACGGGGAAACGTCCCCGCACTCGTCACCGGCGGTGGTAACACCGTTGTTGCCCCCGGAATTTCTTCGATACGCCTGAACGCCCCGACGAACGTAGTTTCTGGATTGTCTGTCAACCTTGGCCCGCGAACAGTCACGAGGCAATCAGTACCGATAACGGGAATATCCAGTAGTGTCTTCACGAAACTCGTTCACGTACCCGCAACAACGGCGATCGTTTCGAACGGACCCGCTATCAATTCCATCGTCTCATCAAATCCAACATCCATCGGTATTTCAGCGCCTTCTGGTTTGCTCAGAACTTCTGTGACGTCTTCGGCGCCACTCGCGAACACCTACCTGAGCTCCCCGTCACTTGTCGGGGTTGCGTCCCCTCTACTTACAGCCGTACATAGAGCGACCGGCGTTGGAGCGATCCCTGTCGGCTCCGTCGCTCGTCTGTCGACTCCCGCCGTAACGTCCGCGAACAACGTCGTCGTGGCGAGACCGCTGCCCACTACGATCACGAGCACACCCTCAATCGTTGCTCTGTCACCTGGCCCTACGAGAATCACAACTCTAGCCGGTCCGAACCAAATCATCGCCCAAGCCCCGCTCGTCTCACGGACTGTCAGCCCTGTCGGTACAAATATTGCTGTTCAGCCGAGGAGAACTTTGGTTGCGTCTGTCCCCGGAGCGGTCGTGACTCAGGTCTCGGGTTTAAGCTCCGCTAGTCCCGCGCTTTCGAGCTCGATTCCCTCCTCGGGAACGATCGTGTCCTCCGTGCCCGTCCGAGTCGCTGGGAGCGTGCTTCCCGTCGCTGCTCCTCGCGCCCTCGTCACGACTTCAGTGACAGCTCCGCAACAGCTTCTAACTCCGGCTGTAACTCAAATACGGCGCGCCCCCACCGTTATCGCGGCAAGGCAAACGGGAGGCGGCGTGATCGTGTCATCCTCACCTCAGATTACGAGAGTTTCGACTCAGACAATCAACCCCTCGGTCGGCCTTGCGCAAGTGAGACCAGCGCTCGGGGCTTCAGTCGTAGGTTCGAGTCCGCAGTTCTCCACCGTGTCTCAGATATCGCGTCTGGTTTCCACCGTCTCCGCTCCGGCAGGACTGGCGCAGTCGAATGTCGCTCTCACTCCCGCCGTGTCCGTCATAGGCGGAAGCTTACCCGTCAGCGGAACATCCTCGAGCTACCTCACGAAACTCGTTCAAGTTCCAGTCTCCTCAACAGTTCTAGGTCCGATGTATAGTCAGCAGCTCTCGGTCGGTTCGGCGTCACCTTCGGTTCTTCTGTCCAACCAGAACAACATCCTGTTTACCGGTCCTGGTTCTCTTTTGAAATTCATTCCCGCCGATGCTGTGAGGATTCAGACGCTCGGTCCTGCCGCCCTGAACAGCAACAGCGTCTCCCGGAACTCGATCGGTCGACTCACGCCCACGACCGTCCTGACGGGTACTTCTGTACAGAGCGTTCCGGTTGTACAATCTAATCAAATACAACCCGTTACAAATGCCGTGACGGTGTCTCAAGGTGCCGTCAATCAAGCCCTTCTTCCAGTTTCTGTCACTTCTGCTCAGAGCAGACTCGCTCTTGATAACATCGTCAGATCGAATCTGCCAAGGAATCTGTTGACTGGATACACCGTCCCCGTTGTACAGAATGCCGTGAGACTGACTTCTACGAGTTCCGCAATTCCACCAGCGCCTGTCACCGTCCAGGGAGCCGTGAACGTCGTGAGCGCTGAAACCGCTGGATCGAGACCCGGCTCGGGTTACGTGAACAGGGAAATTAACGCACCGATAGCCGCCAGATTGACGTCATCGGTGCAATCGACGAACACCATCACGGAGCAGAGGAGCAATCTCCATGAAATTCACATTGGAGGCGACCGGAAAAGCATTCGGGTCGAAGAGTACAAGACCGGACCTCAAGTGATCCGAGTGCACGACGGTCCACGATCGCCTCCGCAGGTTCTCAACGTCGAAGCTCCGCAAGAGCAGCAAGACATCGTGAGAATCGTTTCGAAAGAAGCTGGTCCGCCCCATGTGGAACGGGTCGTCCACGATGGGGGCACGCAAGTTTTCGATGTTCAGAAGCCCGCAGCCGCGCCGGAACGAATCGTTCACATCGAACGAGGCCCACCGACACCTCCGAGAGTGGAGCTGACACAGGAGCAACCTCAAGTCGTCGCTGCAACGCCAGCGGTCGCAGCCACACAGATCGCCAGTCCTCCGGTGGCAGTCACGGTGAGGGAAGGCGCTCCCTTATTGAGTGCCTCCAGGGTGCGAGCGTCTCCCCTGGCTCGAATCGCCGCTGCGCCGGTGGTCGCGCTCGATACGAACTCCGCGTCGGAGAAGATTGTGGTGCGAAAGCTCGTTCCAGCGGGAACTTTCGGCACCAGACTAAGGCGGAGGAAACTCACTAAAGCCGCCACTTCGAGATAATTTAGTCGTGCTGCCCCAATACGATATCTTACGGATAAAGAGTCCCGAATAAAAATATATCCCAAGGATTCAATTCCTATAAATTTCGTGCCCCGGTATTTTCCCTCGACGGGAAGTTTGCTGAATCATCTTCGCCTTCCTCGTGGGAACAACGCCCATTCGCGATCATCGGATTCGAAACCGGAGGCCCCCAGGACTCGAAGGTTTCGGGGGACCTTCACAGTTCTGGGGGAAAGATCTCGAAAGGTACATAGATATTGGAGGGGCTCCGTACCAATGAACTCCGACAAAAACTCATGTTCGGAAGGATTTATTTACAGGGTTTTGTATACGTGGCTTCTAGCAAAAAGCGTTTGGCCTCTAAGATATTTTCGCAATTATGTATAAGTTGTGCATTGTCATTTGCTTTCACAAGCAGCATCATCGATCACTTCATTGAACTTGTCGTCGGTGAATTCAACCTGAAAACAGGGATACTTGTCAAGTTCGAGCGAGGAGGCGAGCTCCGGTCCGAGGGAACTCCGGGAGGATGCGTTGCGGTTGGAAGCGACCCGTCACCCACCAAAGCCCGAAAGATTTTCATGAGATGCTGATTTGCCGGAATGTGATGCAGGGAATGCGAGGTTCGACCATTGTCCTGTCTGAGTAAAATCGAACCTTCGACCTCTCCGGGGTTGTGCATCCCAGTTCTTGGATGATCGCCAACGCTGCCAGACAGCCGTTCTTGACGCACACGTCGATGGAACAGCCCTTGATAAGGAAAGCTAGAAATCCACCAACAAACGCGTCACCGGCTCCGTTGGTATCAACCACACTATCGGGATCAATCTTCGAGATGGGATACTCGGTGAGGTTGCCACCATTCGCAACGATGACGGGTTCGTTCCCGCAGGTGATTACGACGACCCGAGGGACGGGAGCCAAGAAGGTGGAGAGGAACTTCGATCCCTCCCTTCGGCTCATCTGCTTCGAGTGGGATTTCAGGAACGCGTCGAGCTCGCTCTCGTTCCCGAAGATTATGTCCACGTACGGCAGGATGGCGGTAATTTTCTCCCGGTGAAGATCCATGAGGAAAGGAGCCGACAGGTTCAAACACATGACTTTTCCCTTGCGTCGCGAATGATGAGCAACTTTCAGAACGGTTTCCAGATTACCGCAGAGGAAGTAACTTGTCACGTAGAAGAACTTCGCACGCTCAACGCTGTCCCAAACCCGATGCAGATGTTGCTCCGAGTAGTGAGCAGCCGCTCCCTTAGTAGTGACGAGCGATCGGTTCATGCCGCGCTTCGTGACAAGCACACAGCATGTTCCTGTCTGGTGCTGGTTGTCGTAGTGGTAACGGATGTCTACCCCACATTCCCGGGCGTTCTGTTCCAGGTACCTTCCGAACTGATCGAATCCTATAGCTCCGATCATCGTCGAAATCCTCGGCTGCCTGAGGATCCATTGGAGCACTCGGAGTGTGTTCTGGGTCGATCCACCGGCCGTGTAGCGGGGCGCGTACTTGCGACAGAGCTGCTCGGAGAGACCGGCGTGCTCCGGTCCTGCGGGAACCGAATCGTTCTGTCCGAGTTTGAACTTCTCCAGCAGCGAAACATCGACGTTGGCGGTGATATCGAGCAGCGGATCGCCGAAGCCGACGATCGTGCCTTCGCTCAGAGTGGAACTCATTTCTCTCTGTAAGGCGAATACTCTGTGAGAGCTAGATGTGTGTGGGAGCGCCGGACTCTTATATGAGAATCTCAGGAGAGAGTCGGAGTTGTAAGTCTCAATCAGATAACGGTGCAGAACGTCGTCGACGAAGAGGATGCATCAAGTAGACATTCCTCGAGTGTTTACGTGTCAATGGAGCGGGTCTTCTCCTCCGTCTTGCCAACCACGGCACCGTTTCGAAACACGCTTGCGTGACAGTGGCTGCGATAGAGATCAGGATCGAGACGTCTCACAGGCATGACTAGACCAGTCTCGTTTTTCTGATTTTCTCCAAAAAAAATGCCGTTGCGTGTTTACTCGCGTTTCGCAAATAATAATGCATCATCGGTCTCGGATGGCAGCCCACAGAGAGAACCGGAAACGCTCCGAGAGACGGAAATTACGACAGCGACCCCGGAGGGTTTCTCGAGAGAGAGGCGCGCCCGCTCATCGAGAGTGTGGACCGGACCTTGGTTTTGCATTCCATGCACAGATGGAAGCATGCAATCTCAGACTCTTGTAAACTGCGCACGAAGGTCGCGCTTTACTCGAGTGAGACCGTCGTCATCCTACGCATCCAAACAAGATGCTGATTAAAGTAACAGAATATGAGCAGGCGGCTCAAATTTCGAGTTGCGCTTGCGAAACAAGTCTGGTTCCTTCGTTCTGCGAGAAAAGTCGTCGGGTCATGAATATTTCCTTAGCCTGGAAACGCGCAAGAAACGCGCGAGTTTGCCTTTTCGACGCAGACGAAAAGACATATTCGTTCTGTGGATCGCGCTTCCCTCTGAATATACGGTAAGGAATCTCTGCGATAATTCGCGATAGAGATCGATTCTGCTGACAGAGAGCCGTGGACGCTCTGAACACAGCAGACTCGCGAGAAGCGCCGTTATCGAAGGAGACCGAGGCGGAATTTCGGCATTTTTTTTGGGTGTCGATGATTATCCAACGGTGCGCTGGATGCGACGTCGAGAAACGTCGATAGAGGAGGCTCCTCGAACCGTGATCGGAGTCCGCGGGACCGCCTAAATAAATACTTCTTAGCCCTTCACCCGATGTAACTCGAAACCGAGCGCTTAGGAGATTTCTCGTGGAGAAATCACGGATCGTCTTCCCGCTTTCCGGTGCAACGACTCCGTTGAAGCAATCAGTCTGCTGACATGATCCCCTATTCCCCAGAAGGTACGTAAGCTCTATCCCAGCCTTGAATGTGAAGGAAACTGTGTCGCCTAACTATCAGCGAGCAGCTGAGCCGCTGACCTTGGAGACCTGGAAACTCCCCAGTAGACGGCGCGGCATCCATTCTATCATTCCATTCATCGCTCGAAAACGGGTCCTCCAAACTCGATCAATGATCGAGGACTCCACTCGGGATCAAAGCGAAGGAATTCGATGGAATAATGGCCCCGATACGTGGAGAATGATGTTTGCCGGACCTCGACTTCTTGTTATGAGTTTTGACAACTACTCAGTTTCCGGAGGATGACAAGCTCTCGGGGGACTCTCCGTATCTCCCGATGAATTCCTCCTTGAGGACTGGATAAGGTGGGTTTCCGGGAGTGTTGTAAAGCTTATCTCTTAGGAGGCGACATGCAAAGGTATGCTCTCCCGAGTGCTTATCAGAGAGATCGTCGCGGAGAGCCAGATAGCTCGACGACGATATCATCATCATCTGGGACAAGTGCTTTTCCTAAACGAAGTGCAATGCGCAATGCGTGTTGTCCGGGGAATTGCCATCAATTGAGTAAATATCGACCAGCGAACCGGAACACTCGATGTTTGTAGCTGATCGGAGAATTATCTTCTCCGCTGTCAGGAGCATTTAAAGGATGTGAGACGATCCCGTAATTGGATCAACTGCAGCAATAAGAAGCGACATTGTACTTTTCTGTAGCACGTAGCAGACGCAGATATGCTAATTCTTGCGACGTGGGGACGCTTATCAGGTCAAGGTTCCAGAAACAATGATCGTTCGATCTACGCTGGAAGAGCGTCTTCACTACCATTCGTCTCCCATCACCCACGAACGCGGAAAATGGGTATCACCGATCCAGTGATTGTGTGTTGTGTGAATGTCGCTGTGTACGCTGGGAGCCAGACAGCCAGGCTATCCACGCCGAATGCTCCGGGTTGCTGTCGACGGAATGGAGATAGGTCTCGGGGGATGAACGGCACGGAGAACGGGTGTTCCGTGTTCCACTGGCGAGACTCGGTGGAACGTTCGGTGCCCAGTCGTCGATCGATGCCGATGTCAATGAAAAGTGTTTTTTGGCCTGAGGGGTCGTCCAAAGAACCACATGCGGAGCGACGGAAACTCCTTTGCGTATGCTCTTTTAGCGTGACAACTCGATGCGGGGATTCTTCCTACGATGACGCCTACTATCTCGACTGCTGACCCCGTTTCCATTCAAAACATTCATGGTGCTTCCGGCTCGGTTGCCGTAAACAAACTGATGATCAATTCTGCCAGCCCTCGAGTCTCACCGTGATTTTCTTCCGATTTGTAACGCGCTCGAACTCAAGTTGTTGTTCAAGGGGAGAAAGTCGAGTGCAATCATCTTTGAGCGCCACATCGTCTGGGAGGAAGAACTCGATGAGCGTCCCTCGGGGAAGCCTACGTCGCGCCTTGAAATCTTTGTCGACAATCTGGGACAGGGCGTAGCTATCAGTACTCGTGGTGACCCTCAGTCTCCAGTTGATCCTACGTAGGACCGAGCAACTCAGGCTTTCCGATCATGAATCGCCCGTAGAAATCTGACTCTTCGACTATACTTCCGGGCGTTCCCGCGATCATTCTTCGCTGGATCTCTTGTTAATACTGGGAATGTACATCCCTCTCCATGGACCCACGTCGGCCGGGTCAGGGGGGGGGGGGGGGCGTGGGAGCAGAAGGAAAGCCCTCGGAGCGCATCGGAGCAGGGGGATACTTCTCGGGCGGAAATTTTGAGATTGCAGTTGACCTGTAGGAGCATCTCATGCCCCGCGTGTGCGGATCTCCAAGAATTGATAAGACAGGTGCCAAGACGATGCGGTAGCTGCACTTTTCTACATTCTGAACAGAAGCATCAGCTCGCTCCCGATGCTCGAGCCAGCAACATTTTCTTCGGGAGAGCTAGTCCGTTCTCCGCAGGCTTCGTTCTTTCTCGAACAGGAACTCAACATTGATGTCTCAATTTAGTCGTCGCATCACCTTGATACAGGCTCTTGCCTGAATTCCTCGCTTCAGCCCTCTGACCCCCATTGTTCTAGATGTCCCTTACTCCTTCGACTTATGGGTCATCATATCGGAGGTGATACCGATGTCCCTCGAGGACACACTTCTAGAGATCGATCAGTGATCGTGATCATCATCCCGGACTACCCACGGAGCGCTCAACCACAACCAGCGGCTCTTACTCGAGTGCTCATGCGGTCGCTTCGCGGGAGCCCGCGGATGTTTCGGCGATTCAATAACTTTCGCGGACGGTGATATCCACGCAGTTCAATTCTGCTGATCGCGTGAAGTATGAATTCCGTAATCGAGGGTCGGAGCGCTCGATTCGCCTCCACTCACCTCGGAAGGCTTCGGTCGCTTTCCAGAGCTGAACAAGAACGACTGATGGAGGATTACCGATTGCTGTCTGTTTCGAGATCTCGGACATTGGATAATCCAATCAGTCTTCAGCTGATTCGAGGCCCCCCCGAAGAAGCGATCAGCAAAGCACGTTTCGGGCTGTGTAAGTCCGACGTCTCCTGCTTTACTCGCGACGTGCACACGTTCTGGTATAAAAACACGTACACCACCCTGCCGCGATCACTCGTTTGTGTGCGACGGGAACGAACGGATCCACGAACCGGTAAGCTCCTGACCTTCTTAACGCGCCGAATCTTCCCCGAAGCTCATCGAAACCACGTGGACTTCTTCAATATCCCTCATCTGCCGGAAACGATCCGATTCCCAGAGGCTTTCTCGGAATGATATTTTCGATTTCAAGAAGATTGTTCCGGCCGATATTGCTCCGATGTGCTGACTCAGCAATGGGAAGCGAAACCGCGAAGACTGCCACCTCGAGCTCTCCGGACAAGAGGCCTACATTCACTTTCTGTGGCCCCCCTACAGAAATATTCTACGATTCGCCTCCCTAGTTGTCATTCTCGCGAAAAATTCTCGCCCATTTGAAATTTCTCATATCCAAACGCTGATCGATTCATGGATCCGATGCGGGCGCGGGAACTCGAGGTCGGAAATACTCATGAAAAATCTTGCACGCAGAGGATATCAACGAGCCTCCCCGCATTTCAGGAAAAATGAACTCTCTCAGCGTTTTGTGCTTCGCCAGCCTCGTGGCGTTGGCTTCAGCCACCCACATGCTGACTACGACTCCACCCCCTCAGCAACTTGATCCGGTAATCATCATCCAGAACCAGAACAAACTTGTCAACAAGCCCGCGGCTGTGCCTTGTGTTCCAGCAGGCGCTCCGGTTCCTCCGCCACCGCCCCCGGCCGCCCTTCCCGTCGCGGTAGCACCAGCTCCGCCTGTTGTACCCGTCGCCCTACCGCCACCTCCGCCAGTCCTACCCCCCCCGGTGGTAGTCCCGGTGCTTGCACCGAAACCAGTCATCGTCGAGCCCGTCATTGAAGACGTTCAAGTCGCGGGGGTGATCAACTGAGTTTGTGCGATGTCATGATCGAAGCGACTCGCCGCATCTTGAGCGAGTTTCGAGGGGTTTCTCGGTAGAGACGAACAACGGTCTCCCGAATTATAATTTTTTTGTGAAATGGACGAACCTCGGAATAATCCCCAGAGAAACTGGATGCTTAAAAAACCTGAAAAGCACGAATAAATGTTCTTAAATTCTCGATCGTTGTGCGTCATCCTTCCTTATTCAGAATCGAGGTTTGAGAAAAATCGAGAGCAACCATCACAGCTCATAGATAAGGTTCCTTTCGCCGCAAAGAATCAGACTCTGTGAAGAGGGGTTGGAGATTCGGAACAGCTCGTTGCTTCACAGAGCCCCAGATCGCGGTTTCTCGAGCCGCTCGCCCGCTAACGAGCTCCGTATTTCATTATATCTTGCCAGATAGTCTGCATTGGTCAACCAATCAATGGTCGAGAGCCGTAGAATATAGTTCATGGAGTGCAATGAAGAGTCACTAGGGAATTCCTTGGTCGCTCTGCGGAGCCCCGCTTTACCGCGAGAGAATATTTGCCAGCGATCTTTGATATCATGAAGGAGATACGAAGATGAAGGAATACGTCAATAGAATTCTCGCTACGCGAGTTCGGAATTCTCCTAAAGACGTGGCCCCGATGCTGACCATCGTTCGGAAAAGAATCAGCAAGCACGGAGAAAACGAGATCGAATCTAGGGAAAGATCCACCTTCCGCAAGAGTCGAAGATCGGCTTTCCATAATGCCCTCATCTTTCTCTTGTGCCCAAATGCATGGTCATCGTGAGCTCAGCCTGTATTTTCTCCCGCGTTGAGAGCCGCGCCATGGATTCAAACTTGGAACCCGGCCCGTCGGGCCGCCTCGGCGACGAAATCCCCAGCAATAGGAGGGGAGCATACGCCGCACGAAATTCACGTTAGCTCACTTAGTCAAGAATCGCAATTAAACTCCCGGCCCGAGAAATGTTCGGAGCCGATCGAGAGAGAAATACGTCCGCTGATGTCACACACACCATACTCGAGCAACATGGTGTCGCTGCCAAAAGGTCCTAGACAGGAGCGCTCTCCGCGCACGTGTCTCGCTTCCTAGTCGATGGTGCTTTGCGGAGAAACTCACGTTGACTTCGGCGTTCTCGGTTCCCTCCACTACACGCGCGCAGAGAACATTTCTCATCCGGAAATCAATCCACTGCCTGAGCATCCTTCCCAATGTCGGAGCTCTCGTCGATGGCGGATTCTTTAGACGGCAAGCTATCATCTAGTCAGAAGAGTCAGCTCATCGAACAAGTCCAACAGGAACTCGCTATCGCGAACATGCAGGAACTTCTCGAGGTGAGAGCGCTCAAATCACTGAACATCAGACTCCATCTGATGATGACGACGAGAGAGCGCGATTCGCGGTAGAATTCTCCTCATCTCGGTCCCAGGGCGATTCGCGGGAGGACCCCCTCTTGCACATATACTGGAAAACTTGTACGCTCGAATATCCGTTGCATGGGGGATTTCTCCTGTTGGTGAATGTCATGGTGCGGGCGTGCTCCTTCGATCTCTTCGAAGCCTTTCCCCTGACTTATTCCCACTATGCTTTTTAATTTCAGAAAACAACCTCAAAGTGCTTCAGCAAGTGCATACCAAAACCGGGAACATCGTTGTACAATTCTGAACAGGTTTGTCATCATCAATGATATCCGAAGCTTTTCGATACCATACGATCTGAGCATCTGGCGGCCCTCCGATTCCTCGATCGCTATGAAGTTCTAAACACCACCTATGTTTGCAGAAATGCATTTCGATGTGCACCGATCGCTACATGGACGCTTGGAACGTTGTCGGGAGAGCCTATTCTGCGAGGATCCAGCGAGAGTTCCGATAATTCGAATTATGGAGGTGACGAGAACGTGTATCGCGGATTGAAAACCTCCGAAGGAAGTAGGAGAGTTCCCGCAGAGCACCGCTGCGGTCTGGAAGAACTCATTATGTAGTAGTTTGCTGGCTTTTGTGAGCACTCATAAATAAAACCTATTTTTGTACAATCGATAGTATCCCCTTCCTGAGCTCAAAAACCAAGCTCGTTGAGTCGGCCGCTGAGCCTATGAGAGATTTCGCCGATGCTATTCGCCTCCAAATGCGGAGTTGAGGTGTCGAACCATCATGCGAACTCAATGAAAAATCCATTCCGAGCTTGCTCCCCATCTTTGGCATGAGCTTGTGATTGACTATTGTGCTCGCATCGATTTCGAAAGCTCCATCTCGAATCCTCGGTCTCGGAGTACGATCTGCCTTCGATCCAGAGTTTCGTTTCCTGCACCTTGTCGGACATGATTATCTCTGTCTTGAGCGGATGATCAGATAGCCTGAATCGCTGAGCTCGCCGGGCATCCAAGAGTGAACCCCGTTGTTCGAGGTGGCGCGAGGAGTCAAGATTTTTCTCTCCGACGAGTCGCATTCTTCAGAACAAGCTCCGACACCGAAGATCTCGTGTTGGCATGCCTCAAGAGCTCTGCCAATGAAAGAGTGCGGTTCTACGATCGCGCAGCCGAAATGAAAAACTATAGTCGAGCATACTCGAGCGTAGAGCTATAGAAGTCTCGGCCTCGAGCACTCGCTCAAAAAGCCGCGAAAGATAATTTTCTGCGAATCGGAACATTCATGAATCAGAAATCCCCCGTAGGCGCCCGAGTGCGTAATCCGGCCTCCTTTCGAGGAGCTCGCAGGCTTCGCTTTTTGGCGCGGTGTGAGCAGAATGCGTTCATCCGTTCAAGCCGAGAAGCCACTGTAGCAACAACAGCCCCGATTTCCATCACGATTCGAGAAGCTCGAGCGACTCTGTGGAGAAGTTCGCGATGTCTGAACACGGTAACAGGTGAGTTGCGATGTTGAACGTGTCGAGATGCGTACGGAAGGAAGTTTTGAGTAAATTCTGACACCTCCTTGGTAGGTGTGTGAGTGTCTGTGTCGACTGAGTCGTGTTTGGGGTGTTGCTGTATCTGGTACAGCGACGACGCGAAAAGTTACGCAGGCGCTTCCGAAATCGATATCCGACTGTCTCTCTCGGAAGTATTTTAACATGCTCCGTAGCAGGAGCCTGGGTGGGCGTGGACAGTCAGATTCCTTTGACTCGGCTCGGCAATTTCCTATGGAAGAAACGAATAGTCCAACATGTCCCATCCGCTGGGAGCATTGAAGGATTCGCTGATACTGGGACCCATGAGTACTGACCGAGGAGGGACAATTCGATTGCTCTGAATATTCTATTGATATTGGCAAATGACATGAAAGGAAAGAGCATTGGTGTCACGGATGATTGGAGGAGATTTCCCGGCACATGCGGTCATGGTGACCTCGATCTACGGAGAAACCTCGATCTCTCTCTTCCCAATTTATAGTTCCGCGCCATTCGTCCTTCGTAATCGCAACCCCATCCAGAGCGCCCGATCCTATCGATGACACATTCTCGGGAACCGCCGAGCCGCCCCGATGTCACTGATTTCTGCCACGGAATACGCCGGAGCCCATATCCCTCGTCCCTCCCATTGGCGTGAGCTATAAGGCGGGAGCTGGCGGATTTGAACTGAGCGAGTCGACGACTCGGAGACCGGGACATCTTTTCTTTGGAGCTCTCGCTAGTTCCTCAGCCCCCTCAAGTCTCGTCCAGTTCATGTTACGGGAGAAGAGGATTCCAATATCTGACGTTTTTGCGTTTCCAGCGAAGTAGCCTTCGTGGTCTCCGAAGACGGGTCAGCGAACGTGACCAATGCTGAAGAAGCAGAGGAGGACGAGGCAGCTAATGACGAGTGCGAGGGCCCAACGCCGTCGTCTTCGAGCAAGTACAAGTACGACAGGCAATGCCCTTCGTGCGGAAGTGTTCTCAGCACCTTATACGCGCTCAAACTCCATATAAATAAGAAACACCCGAAAGAAGAGAGCGATCTGATACCGCTCATCAAGCAAACACAATGGCGGTGCATGCAGTTCCCGTGCACCGTCGACATCAACTGCACGGTTGTGTGCAAGGGTCGAAAGGAATTGTTGGAACACATGCAGAACGACCACGGCGTAGTTGTGAGTATCGCCAACACCGTGTCCTTCGCTCGGGCGCGAACGTGACCCGGGTCGAGATTTGTGCTCTTCCGCGAAGATTTTGCGGAAACTGGACCTCCAGAGAGCATTTCTAATCGATTGTCCTCTCTTCGCAGGTTGAGTGGATCGATCACAGTTTCCCGACGCGGGAGGAGTTCGAGAATTTCCGACGCGAGCTGCGGAATTTCGGCACGATGTTCATCAAGGCCACGTCGCGTTACAGACAGAACACTGGCTGGGCCGTGTACAGATGCAATCGGGAAGGCAATAAGGATGAGAGGAAAAACCGACCGCGGCAGAGCAATCGGGCTCAGACAATCAAGATCGGAACGTTTTGCACAGCTCACTGTAAAATCTATTATGAGGGAGAGGGTGTCCGCGCCTACGGCAGCACGACGCACGTCAATCACGAGGTGAATGGTGTGTGGCCCGAGCACACAATGCGAGCCCCGGAGTCCGAAGAGCGCATCGTCGAGGTTCATCACGTGGACGGCACTGTGGTTCAGGAGATCGTTAAAGTTATCGAAGAGCCCGGCTCGACCACGCGTGTTGTCCGTTGCGAAGATGAAAACCAAGTTATAATCGCTACTGAGGATGCGGACTGCGGAGGCCATCAGAAGTTGGACACCTTGGTTCACGAAGGAGTCGAGGAGCTCAGGACCATCCACGAGGAATGTCAGACGGAGCCCCTGGTCGTTTACGCCGATCGTCTTCGGAAATTCTACCGGAGTCTAGGCGAAGCCGTCAGTCAGATTGTGGGTGACGATTTCCAAGCGAAGAGGTCTCGGAGAACCGTCATGAGCGTGTGAATTCTCGCGCTCGAAGCTCTTAGAGGTGGGAATAATTGGATAGCTCTCGCCGTCCGCGATTTGGGGGATTATCGATACCGAGTGTATAATTGAGGTTATTACGAATAAATATAGCTATGTTCCAATGTGGATCATTCGCGGATTCATTCACAGCGATTCGTTCAAGCACCCTCGAGAAAATGGCCTCCAACAGACTCAGGATCGACTGCCGGGAAATGACCGTGCGAAAAGTGATTGAACAAATTCACGCTCGATGTAATTCAGAGAATGGGAACGAGAGGACGTATGTTTCGATCCGGAGGCATGAGGCTCGGTCACATTGAAAATACTTCCAAACTGTCGAATTGTTCTCAAATATTCCTGGTGCAAGCTGTGCGCTCCCAAATGACGCACATGCCAGGGGTCGTCCTCAATGATCGGTTTTCCTACTTCGGAACCCTCTCCAACCCCTGAATGCCGACGGAATCCGACGAACAGCCTCCGGCATCATTAATTAGCTAGAATCGTATGCGATGGGGTGAACACGAGAAACGCCGCGAGTGATTGTCTGTGGCGCCAATGCATCCATTCGGAGGATTGATTGTGTGTAAACAACGAGAGTCGGTTGTGCTGCTTGTGATCTTTGATGCTGAATGTAGAGCCGATCTTCTCTCAGCCGTTCGTTTTTGCGAAAATGGCGCAGCATCTAGTTGTTGTGGATTCTGAGCGACCTTCAACGAGTCAAACCGAGTCCGAGGTGAGTGGGCTCGTTGTCTGTGGAGCTTTCAAAGCAACTCTATTTGTACCATGTTGTGTCTAACTATACTCTCCCGGCGGCCAAAACAATGTCTCCCATATCCACGTTCGAGCTCGATTGCTCGGCGTGTCTGAACACCCAGCCTTTGTCAGAAGCTGTGGAAATACCACACACAACACGAGCACTGGTGGGAACCCGAAGCGAAATCGACTCCTGGAGTCCTATACCGCATATAAAACAGAACAGATTCAAGACACCTGAGCTCTAGGCCCAACTGGGAACCTATGATCCTCTAGGTTCTCGGAGGTCAGCTCGCCGAAAGTCTGAAAGAACTGAAAGACTAGCGAGCCACCCCATCTCTATCTTTCGAATCCGTCGAGGAGCGACGGTCGAGATTTCAGACCATGGAGAAAACTGGAGACGTCACGGAGCCGGCACGACTCCTACCACTCTCGCGGAACGACGACAACTAATGGAAATCTGTCCCCTTAGATACCCCCGAGAGTCCCCATGAAAAGGAAGCAGATCGAATGTCCGGGTTGCGCGAAGACTTACAGCAGCGTCGTCAGCCTAAACGATCATATTCGGCGTTTACACTTCGATGTCCAGGATGAACTCCAGAACATTGTCAAAGCTGGTCAATGGCGCTGTACCCAATTTCAATGCGTCATGAGCTCCGCAGGATGCATGGAAGTGTGCAAAAGTCGCAACGAGCTGCTGAAGCATCTCGAAACAACCCATGATATAGCGGTGAGGATCACCCACCTTTTCTACCCCCTAAGTATTCGATAGATTCGGGGATATGCGTTCGATTGGACAGGAAACGAAACCTTCCGCCGGTCCGAAAGCTTCGCTAAGGACTTCTTGTTTATCCTTTTTAGGTCGATTGGGTGGAATTGTACTTCAAGACTTTCTCGGAGTTCGATCAATACAGAGTCGGTCTCCGCAGTAAGGGACACTTCTTCATAAAAGCGACCTCTCGTCGTAAAGGTCGGACCGCGTCTGAGGAACCTTTCGTGCTGTTCCGCTGCAACAGAGAGGGTCAGAAAGTTGACCGAAAAGGCACCAGGGACATGAAGAACAGCATCAAGATTGGGACTTTTTGCACGGCCTACTTGAAGATTTTCTTCAGGACGGACGACACCATCCGTTGTGCAGGCTCCCTGACCCACTGCAATCACGCGATAAACTACAGAGTCAAAGAAATCGACGGAGGTATATCCGGGCGGCTGCAAGTCATCGACGACGACGACGACCACGGTGAAGTCGTGGAGATCAAGGACATCAACGAGACGGAGGTGATGGAGGAAACCGAAGAGATTCACGAGCCGGGCGAGGTTAACGAGTTGCACATAGTCCACGAGCAGGTTGGCGACGAAGAGATGCAAACGCTCGATGAAACAGCCATGGAGGAGGCCTATGAGGTCGCTGAAATCACACAAATTGAAGAACACCAAGACGCACCGGTCCTTGTCGTGACTCAAGAAGATAGCAGCGCACATCGAAGCTTGAACGCTCTCGTCGAAGACACGATAGTGAAGCTCCACAAAATTCAGGAACAACGCACGGGTCAGAGATTGATTTTCTACGCGGACGCTTTGCAACAATTGGTGCGGTCGGCACACGAATCCATCTCGAAGACGATAATGGAGCACCTGCAGAAGAATAAAGCGCGGAAACAGGCATCCGTCGCCATAGAACAGTCCTAATCGAACGATCTGATTTCGTTAGCGGTTCGAGCAGGCGTCGAAGATTCTTTATTATACAGTTCAATCGATCATCTTGCCTCTTGTAAACTTGACCATGTTTGGCGTAAGGAATAAAACCCTCATCATAATCATCCTCAAATCTGAGAAGGGGACATTCTGGAGTTTTTTCTATCGTCAATCATACTTTGGGATAATAATTTGTTTTTCACGTGTCGGATGAAAATTCCATTTGGATAAGATGTACTATAAAAGTAAAGCCGCCGCGCCGCCGTCATTATGGTCCCGATTCCGGATGCGGATACTCTTTCCTTTTATCGAGCAGGGAACGAGGGTGAGGATTACGTATGGGTAGTGTGGGTGGCATCTCCGCTAGCCGCCATCTTCCGCTTGTACTTGGCGAATCGGATTTCCTCGAACTGGAACTCGCAGGTTCCTCCGTAGACCTTGAGGAAATCGTACATCCGCTTCTCGTTGATATTAGGCCCCTCAAGAACATTCGAGAGGGACATATGCGTGGAACTGTCTTTGCGAGTTGAAAGCACGCCGACAATCGTCGTCGAGCTCCTGGAAGAGACGAATCAATTCCCGTGGGACGTTCTCGGAACAATCGTGATCCTGAAGCAGTTTCGACTGTAGACGGAGACTTAAATGGGATAATTTACTTGTTCTGGTTGCGGGATTCGCTTTCGGCGTCCTGTACTACGTCGAAGGTTGGACCCTCGCTGGCTGCCAAGCGCTGCGGGATTTTTTGTCGTGCCATCTTCTCCGCACGCTTGGTGTTCTCTTTATTCGATGCGATACTATGTGCGGTTGAGCTGCTTCCGGCGAGACTGCCCATTCCGCTGAACAGCCCACTGCTGGCGTTCTCGTCGATATAAATCGCCATTTTGCTATTCTTGAGCCCGGATTTCGAAGCCAGCCCCTAGATTGCGTCGGAGGAGAAGTCAGGTTCACATTTATGTCACAGCAACGGCGCTTCTCTCCAGATGATCGCCTCGGAAAGGAAATTTTCACTCGCGGAACTCACCTGGACAGCTCCAGGTTGGAGGGCAAGTCGATTGCTACCGACTCGCACATTCGGAGCTTCGATGCTTCCCGTAGGTCGGAGCTTTGAGAGAGCGTTCCGCGAATCCTGCGGAGCGTCCTCTGATTCAGCTTCGAAGTTCCGCGTTGATCCCTGGGCGATGCGCAGTATCAGCTGTCTGGGAAAACCATTGGATGAAACCACGTCATATTTCCTTCCGCTCATCAAGACAATGATTCGCCGCATCCGTGCCCTTGAAGGGACTATAAACCTACTTACTTTAGGGCTGTCTTCAACTGATCATGCGGCTCAGCCAGCATCGCGATCCCCTTCTCAAGAATCTCTTGAGCTCTTCTCGATTCTCCAGAGAGCTCGTGATATTCTGCCCACTCGATGTAGAAAGCGCTCGATCGTACCCCAACTCCGCGTGCAGACATGCACTTATAAACTTCTTCTGGGTATGGTTGTAGACCTGCCTGCGAGAGTCGGTACGCTGATCTCCACCAGAGGCTCTCGCGACACAAGCAAGACCTTGATCATTACTATAGTAGCTCCTTATGGAAAGCATCAATTCGGACTCACGAATTTGAGCCATACGCGCACGTATCGCGGATCGTTGTCATATTTCCGGTCAGGGATAAAAGTCGATATGCAATTTTCAAGCAGCTGAGGTAGATGTAGCCCGTGAAGGCCAGACGGATAATGCTCTTCGAGCCACGTCAGGTAGCTGGGAATGGAGTCGCATTCCGTGAACAGCTCGAGCACCAGAGCAGTATGTATCGGTCCCCGGCTCTTCAGATATATGTCGGTCACGGTGGAAAACTCACCTGTCCCAAACATGGAGGGGATCTTCACCGTCGTATGCTCGGAGGTCTTCCTCGAACTCTCTGAAAAAAATCAGAGCTCGAATTCAGCTCATTTGTCCCAAGTTCCACCACTCTATTCTGGGCGGATATATCGTTCGAATGTATTTATTTGAATGAAGGGATTCCGACGTCTTCACTGCTCCTTGAGATCTCTAACAGGGGAAGTTCCGTCCCCGAAGAATGGAGTTTCCGGTCATCGGCAGAACCATCTCCGAAACACATCAGGGCTGCGGAGACATTTTTCCCGCCATTCCCCGATTCGGGATTCCGCTATTCTGATGGAGGCGTAACCTACGAACTTCTGAACTACCCCGGGATTTTTTCCGCATGAGGAATGCGATTCACATAACCTAGATCGGCTGCTCGATTTTTCCGGAGTGAATGTAATCTCGTGAAGACTACGGAGCTCACAGCTCAGACAACAATTAATGTCCATTGACATGTATTGCGCACCCCAGCGTTTTCTGGAGCTCAAGAAATGGATGTTGCTGGATATTTCTCAAACCTTTTCTTCTCTTCTAAAATTTCGGGGTTCTGCAGAGCTTCCGTGAGGGATGCGATGTTCCGTCCTCGTCTCAGAGGCTGAATATTCTCCTTCGCTGCTTCCCAAGCCGGCTGGGGCTCCATCTGGGGAGACGGAAAGCCACAGCTCTAGATGGTCACTCAGATGCTCAGGCACAGCTGTGATCCATGGGCATCGATCGAATCCTTTGGCGGGGTTCAGCGATCGTTTTGTTGACGGGGAACACTAAACCGCGCCATTAGACTCTCTCCTCTGAAGATATGTTCGGCACTATTAGAGGCTTAACAACCAAATCCCGGAATTAAACGGAACAATCCTGGACTCCGATCAGAGCTCCAAAAGTATTCAAGAAACTCGCCCGATCGCCTTCCCGCGGAGTAAGAACGATTTTCGGGGATCTACTTGCGGCCGCTTGACCGACTCCTAACCACCCTCAACACTTCATGCGCAGCATTCGAAAGAGAAAAAAAGGATTCTTGATCTCCTCAACCGTAGAATGAGCGTAATTATTCGCTTCTCGTGATGAACACTCAACGCCAGAACGCAGCAGTCTCTGGCCGAATCGGATTCGTCGAGGTCACTTTCCGTTCGCGAGTCGCGATGTCTCTTCAGGAGCCATTTGCCGCCATTTGGCTGCGTGGTTGTCGTTCATCAGAAGGGAAAGATGATTTCTGAAGTTCGTGGGTCGGAAGGAGGCAGGGCCACCAGGGTCAACTTTCCATGCCAGATCGGTACCTGAGCTACGAGCGTCCGTTCCTGATCGCTCTCAAATTCTCCTCAGTCTCGACCATGAGGAGACAGGTCTAATTCTGCGGCAGCTTCGCGTTCTGTCAGCTTTCGAATCGCGCGCTCGTCCCCACTGTCTGCTCTCGCTCAAAAATGTCAATAAGCAGCCATCTTGAAAACTAACTTGTGGCCTGGAGTTGTTTCGGCGAACCCCAGAATCGTATTCAGCGCTTCACCGTGACAGTGGTCCTGAAGTATGGCAAAGTTTCCGGCTTCGGCGGCGGTTGTCCTGGAAGCCGTGGAGGAGGACGCGTGCGAGCTGAGTTTCCCCAAAGACTTCGAGAACGCGGAGACGCTACTCATCTCGGAGGTAATTATCTGCGCCGGCACCGAATTGTCATTGCACGGAGTTTGATCGTCGATGCGAGCCCTCGTCATACTTCTGCGGAGGAACTGAGTGTCATCTTCTCCCAGGTCCACATGCTTCTAGAGCACCGGAGTAAGCAAAACGAATCGGCTGAGGAGGAACAAGAACTGTCGGAGTTCTTCACAAAAACACATGGCTACTGCACTAGATTCTCCAAGTGAGTTTCCCGGGATGTACGAGAATAGGACGACCGGTAGCGATTCATAGTATTCCCTCGGTAGTTGACATACTCCGCGATGGCCAACCCAACTCATTCGCCCTCGACTACCTCCTTCTCAGATTCAAGAATCGCGAAACGATCGGCGAGGTCCGCAATTTGCTGCAGCAGAAGAAACTCCACAAATTCGAGCTGGCTCAGCTCGCGAACCTCTGCCCCGAAACTCCAGAGGAAGCGAAAGCTCTGATCCCGTCCCTCGAGGGCCGCTTTGAAGACGAGGACCTACGTGAAGTTCTTGACGATATCCAAACCCAGAAGAGCTTCCAATTTTAGACCTGGGAAGTGCTGTATCACAATTGTAAATACGTGTGCTCTGTAAAGTCGCCCGCATAGAAGCTCGATGCTCCCTATGCGAATTTCCGGAGAATAAACATCTTACCCGTGAATCTTATTGATTGCTCTCGGGGAAGCTTCACGATAGCCTTAACTGCTCAAGAGACGAATTTCCTGATGGCTTGCCGTAATTATTTGGAGGGAAGGAGAAATACTCGGAGATCGATGGGGCCCGTTGACTGGTTCCTCGGGAGTTTCAGAAGAAGAAGGTAAGAAAATAAGCGCAATCAGAGTACACGAGCGGGTTTACGCCGGATTCCATTCAGCCTGAGCGAATCTGTGGAGCGGTTCTTGCAATGATGATGGATTCTTCTCTCGAAGCATTTCGCGCCTCCGTTCAGGGAGAGTAGAACACGCAGCATTCCAAGAGCGCAAACTTAGAGTTTCGATCAAATACCCTTCTTTTCCGATCCAAATTTTAATCTAGTACAATCAAGAATTTATTACTGTTACCTCTGAGACCGGATCTCAATTTGGTACATTCGAAAATTCATTTTGATTCAAAAAGCTCGAATCTGATCGATGATTAAGTTTTCCTCTCGAACTTCAAGTATAGAAGATCTACCACGATTACGCCTTCCAAATCATCCCCATCAAATTTGCATCCCCGTAGGTATACCCCTAGTAGTCAGTTGCGAATGCGGCACCATCCGATCGGGAGAAACTGTAGAGCGCTCACCAGGAGGAGAAAATATATAGTCCTGTGCGTGAGTTCGCGTCACGATTTCGATCAATATAGGAACAGCATCCTGTGTACTGAGGGAAGACACCAAAAAGTCAGCCTCTGGCTATGAATTCCCCGAGTAAAAGGGTCTGGTGAGGAGGAGTCGAGCTCGATCGACACCGAGACACAATTTCGCAACTTCGAAGTTGATTACACTCTATAATATCCGCGGCTGAGGGAACCTCCTCATTGGGGCGAGTGATCATGAAAGCCTCCGAGATTCCAGTACCTATCACCGCTTAACATTTGCTTCGTTTGATGGACACGCCACCATCTTCCACGAAGACAGAGCTCCGAGCTCTCCAGGAATGCCAGGCAAAGAGCCATACAACTTAGGCACTTCTTCCTCGGTCCCAAGATTGAGGTTCACAATTTCCGGATCCCGTCAGAAAAATATAATGCGGGGATCAAACGTTCCTGTCGGAAGAGTTTCGATATTTTCGAGAAAACAATAAGGCATCCTACGAGTTTGTGACCGAATCCGCCCGGCGCGACAGCCAAGCCGCTGAATTTGATTCAATACCACTCATGAGCGTTTCCAAAACCATGCCAGGTGAAGAGATCCGTGAGATCTAGGTAGATGGATTCAACATCAACAGGGGTTCGCTATCCAAGGCACGTTCCGGCGTACAAACTAGAAAGGTCGAGCGTTGAAACTTGTGCTTCAAATTTGTACTTCGATAACTAAGCCAACCAGCGTTATTCCTATGCTGAACAAGCTCAACCATCCGAATACACTATGTCCACCTCACGCTTCACGTCTGTCGGCTGATTTTGATTCCGGCTGTCCGTCAGTTTTCTCTTCTTCAGCTTCTGAGCGGATCTCAACTCGAGCCCTTCCGCCACGCGCTTCAAGATCTCGAAATTGGATTTTCCCTTCACTCGTATCGTATACCACTGCTCTTCTGAGGCTGTGTCGTGTTCCTCTGCATTGCTGAGATTCAGGTTGGTCTCCTGGCTCAACTTCACCGCCTTAGTATGTCCTGCCGATCCAGAATGTTTAGCTTTTCCCTTGGCCGTTTCCATCGAGAGACGCTTCACCAAGGTGGTTTCATCGTGTCGCCGGTCCCTTCCGGGGCAAGCACAAACTTTGACTTCGACTACACACCGACCGAGTTCCCGGCCTTCGTGTTGCAGCAGGAAGACGACTTCGGTCGCCCGTCGATTCACTCCTCCGACGCAAGTGTTTCGACACATGAACTCCAGAATGTACGTGTAGGTCGAGCAACCGGCGTGAGGCTTTTCATAAGGTACTATCAAACAATGTCTCCGATTGTTCTGGATATCCTCGTAATAAATTGATTGGCTATGCGTACTGTTCATCCAAAACTTCCCCGAGAGACCATTCATGTCTTGGTTTCGACAATGGTGGGGGCAGCGGACGACGTTCTCCCTTCGCGAAACCTGCGGGGAAATCAAAGTTCACATTAAGTCGAATAGCGGGGAGAATATCGAGTCTCAGAGATTACGCGGTCTCCGAATTCCGCAGCTTTTCATGTACGAGTCATTATCTTACCGCGTCTTTGTAAGCCGGAATGCAGACTATATAGGAGTTGTCTGGGGGTGGTGAGGTTGTCGAGATTTTGAAAGGGCATTGTGAATTCAACATAACGTATAGTCGCCCCACTTCGTTCGAATATGTCCATGTCATATTCTTCGTGACTTTGTCATGCTGATCGAAGGTGACTTTGAACCCGAGATCACCGGGAGCATTTCTGAGGGACTGATTCACAACGGTCGAGTTGATCTGAGACAGGAAGAGCTCATGTGGGTTGACGACAGGCTGAAACGGAAGAAATATCTTTCAGCTCGTTAGCCTCCAATGGATGCCCAGTCGAGGACCTGCAGCACCGTCGGGATCGAACAGACCAGTCACGGGTAACAGCCAAATTCACATACCGATCACTCTCCGAGCTCGTTCAGAGAAAAAACGTCTTCGCTCCGTGCTCGGTGGAGGAGATCCGAATCGTTTCCCTCGACTTTCAACAATCGAGCTATGCATCATGCGGGAGCAAACTCGCCGGAAAATGTTTTACGAACGGATCCCTGAGCAGCATTCTCAGCGGAATCATGCGCGCCCTCCACGAGCCTCCTCCAGCCTCGTGTTGGTTCTCTCTTCTCGCCGGCACCAATATTCGATATCTACTCGACAAAGCGACTCTGTTTCCGTCCAGTATATGTACCAGATAGGACTAATCGACGGGATCCGGGTCCAAAGTATCCCATGACGTCATTAAATCTTATGTTTGCTACTCCAACGAGGAAGATCGGGCGGCAGTCACTCAGTCAAGTTCTTTCCTCGCTCCGAACATGGAGCGAACATTCAGAGAGTCGAATCGAATAACGAAACAGTTGGGAGCTGACGCTGTATTCAAGGTCCAAGGATGGTGACCCGATGGGCTGGCGTGCAACTCACGTCACAATCCGATCGCATTTCTTTGGCGGGATCGATGGCACCCGGAGCAACTCCGTTCCGTGATTTTCCCGCGACAGCTTTGACTATGGAGCCCGTCGTTTGGTTATTAGGACATGCATGACAAACAAATCAGATATGAGAGTCGTTATCCCGTATAGGTTGCTACCGCCGTCGATCAGCTGACCATCACCACACAAACGCTAAGGAGTGCATCCCGACCCGGACAGGGTTTGTCATTCACCTTTATGTCCTGATACTGTTGCTGCACGGCGGGTCCGAGCAGGAAGTCCTCAGCGAACGTGTGGAGGTCCCGTTCTATGAGATCTTCACTCGTCCGCTGGACGAGCTCTGTCGGGAAGTATGACGGCGCGGGTACAGTGGAATCTGCTTCGATTTCTTGCTCGGAAATTACTTGTTGAACGTCCTCGTTGAAATTCAGCATGAGGTCGACGATATCTTGTGAATTAGGAACGTCTTCCATGCTGTCCAGGTTCAAAACTGTATCCTCAATATCGAAAATCCAGTCCGCGGAGGACTCCACGGCGCACGATCTGCTGTTACAGCCACACAGGGCACGAATGGACTTGCCCGGACGGTCGTCGTCGTCTGCCTCGCGTTGTTCGGCCGCTAGGTGGCTAGCAGTCTGCGAGCGGCTTCCCAAACTAAACTCCGCTGTGCGCGCCACCGCCTTAGCCTTCGGCTGTTTTTCGCTCGAGCCGAAAAATGTGCTGCCCACGGAGCTTCTCGAGATGCAGCGATGCTCTGATTTCCCGCCAAGAGGGCGGTTCGATGAAGATGCCGGGGCGGCCGCCGCTGCTGAATAAGGCACAACCTCTAGGCCGAGCAGGAATCGAGGAGTGAGCTTCCGGGAAGCTACCCTACCTTCACGCAGAAAGACTATTCCGCGCATTGATTTTGAATATCTCGCAAGAGCGGATACTCAGCCTGGTCTTAGCCTCTTAGCTTACATGAAGCCTTCTGCGAGTCGGGAAAGTCCACTGGTCCTGTGAGCTCTGCAAATAGGATTCTCCTTGATGGAAATTCTCAGGAAGAGCTTCTGTCCCCAATGCCTCAGGCTCCCAGGAAGCCCTAACAGAAGACGGCCAGAAGATATGGGTCGGGGGAAACCATGGACGGGGCGTCAGTGAAAAGATTCCAGCAATCCGCCAGCTAATCATTAACCAGTCGATCTGCGGAATAGCAGACTGATCACTGATCATTGTATAGCATGAGGTGGACGGGATACCAGCATTCTTCCTTAGCTGATTCTCGGCAAAACTTCCGCAAAACCTCATGAGTCCGTCTGCAACTCGCGACGGAAGAAGAGTCATTCATTGACACCCCTAATCGGGTCTCGCCCCAAAATTCCCAAGTAGAATCTGCCAAGATCAGAGAACTATTCAGAGCCCTGAAGTCTGATGGGGCTCCATGGAGTTTGCCCAGCGCAGCGGTTCGAATGTTGCGAACTTCGGAATTGAGCGCTTCACATACGATCTCTCACGAGAATATCGCGCGAAGCGCAATGCGGCCGTGAGCTATAACTTGATATTTTCGCAATAGGTCTATCGGCTTGTGGAGATCCGATTAGCAAGGATTCGGCATGGAACGATGGGGAACGACAAGACGCGGTGTCTGTGTAATGGCCAGAATCTGACGCAATCACGGCAGCCGAATACACCTAAACAAAGTGGGTCGACGCTTCCATCAAAAGCTTCCTGGAACGCGGCGGCGATCGCTCCAGTGCGGTCGGAGAATATCTTTGTTCCCCTAAGTAAGACATCGAAGGGAGCAACATTCGTTTTCCGAGATCCCCGGAGCGGTTTTCCTCCTCTGGACGAGAATCCGAACTTGAGGTGGATAGGAGCTCATGAATCAAAGCTCATGGGTTCGGAAGACATGTAAGTCAGGTGACAAGAGCGTCTATCTAAAGCGTGACCGTTCGCCGGAGAGGAAACTCTCACCCCACGCGAATTATTCCTCCAAAGAAACAAAAATCACCTTTGTCATAAAAGCGCATTATATCCATAAAACTAATCCGTATTATAAAACAACTGACGCAAAGGCCTCCGTCAGAGACACCCACAACGGAAGAGAGGTTCTTCTCCGGTGGGAACTGCTGCCGAGTTCGAGGAAGACTGAATTCAGAGACTCTCCCATACGCACGAAGGAACCGCTTGCTTCGGAACTTGTGAGTTTGTGCAAGAGGAGTACCTACTTAAGCTCAGAGGGATGAGGCCATCCTCGGCTTCTCCTTATTGAAGGCCTGGGCTCTCTCGAGTGATTCTCCAACAGGACCTTGGAAATTTCCACCGAATCCCACCAACTGTCGGATATCTATCGGCTCTCGGGATACCCATCCTAAGATTCGAGACTCGAAGATATCGCTAACATAAGTCACATCGTAAAGAAAACTAGGGACATCGTCTAAGTAAAGCAGTCCCTCCTCGTCCTCTTAAGACGATACTCTCAAATACAGTCCGGGACCTAACCTTGACGCCCGGTTCCAGCAACTCGGAGCTAGGCACCGGTGTGATCCGTGACATGCAGAGAACTCCTAGAGTGAGAAAATGGCTCACGGTGGGAAGTGTGGTTCTGCTGGCGCAAATCGTGTTCGCGGTGGTCAACACGGAGCCCAAACCGGACCTAGGGATCCTCAGCCTAGTTCACGACGGTGAGTCTTCCGAAAAACGTCGTCAGAGCCCTCCGTATCTTCATTCCCTTCTTCGTGGAACACTCGACACTCCATGCCTCTCTACATCGGTCGAGTCCTTGCTCGAATTCCCTGATCCTCACCCGAGTCTGCCCGAGTGAGTCGTAACCGTCCTATTTGCCAGCTCCGACGATCGACTCGTCGACCAACTGCACACCTGCCGCCATCGAGCAATTTCCGAAGCCATATTTCAATTCTGAACAGCGGAAGCAGGGTTGGCTCGCGGTTCACATAATTTTGGCGATATACATGTTCGTCTGTTTAGCGACTTTGTGCGAGGATTATTTCGTTCCGGCGATCGAGGTGAGTTCAAAGTCATCATCCGAGAATCTAACGAGGACTGGGTGGATATTGACGCTCTTTATCCGATTACCTCAGGTCCTCACAGAATCCTTCGAGATCGATCCCGACGTCGCTGGCGCAACTTTCATGGCGGCGGCAAGCTCTGTACCCGCAATCGCTGCGTCTATCATCGCCATCCTCGTGGCGAAGGCGAGTTTCCAAGTTGACGCGTAAATTCAGTGGTCGTGACGGGCGGGGGCTTGGATGGACTGACTGAAAGTGAAATATTTCTTCAGGGAGATCTCGGTGTGAGTACCGCGCTCGGGTCAGCGGTTCTGAACGCCGCGGGAGTCGTCAGTGTGAGCGCTCTTTTCGCGGGAAAAGTGAGTTTCCCCCTATCGGCCTCCCGAGGTGCGGACTTGCGCTCCGTGAACCTGCCGCGGATTTGCGATCGAATTCCTGAATGGTTTCCGTGCCTTGCAGGTAGTCACTCTGCACAGATGGCCCATGTATCGCGACAGTTTCTTCTTCTTGATCAGTGTGGCCATCATGCTCGTCGCCATGTTCGACGACCTGATCACTTGGTGGGGGTGATTCCATGTCCAGGGGAAGCATTCGGAAGGGCTGCGCAAGGGGCGCCTGTCTCATGCGGTGTAGAACATTTTCAGGTTCGAGTCCTCCCTATTGGTCGTGATGTATTTCGTATACGCGATATTCATGTCGTTCGATACGAAATTGGAGAAGTTCTTCGTGGAGAACTTCAAGTTCCTGCAGGATAGGGTGGATTACCCAGAGGGCATGTTCCCCCCTCAAACTCAGCTGGAAGATACGAGCGTACCGGTCCCAACGACGATCTTCACAAAAGAGTTCGATCTTTCGCCTCCAGGTGAATCATTGATAATAATGTGCAAGAGCTGGTACACATTTCACGCGCTCAATAATTCGCGCAACCTAGAGCGGGGCAAGGCTCCACGGATTAAGGAGGCTTTGAAACAGCCTAGAATTTCATTGGCAGGAACTCCAGGAGCGAACGCAAAACGTCTCAACATATCGCCATACAGGAAATCTATCGTGGAGCTGCAACCCGCCGTGCGAGCAATTCTGGAGGGACAAAGACGGCGAATGTCTCTGATCTCAATGAAAAGGAGCAGTGGTATGGCGAGAGCTGCTCGTGATATTCGCGTTTATCTGATCCGAACCGTGAAATCATTTTTATTTCCCGAGAGAGTCCCAGAACTCATCTTCCTGCAATTTTCAGTCGTCAACGAGCAGATAATATCCAATCCGAACATGAGGAACCAAGTAATGGCAGCTGTTGCAGGTACGTCCCAGACCTAGACAGTTCACGGAAGTGGTGATCTCGTAGTCCTTGGTGATCGCTCGATCCTGAAAATTTCGGTGATGGCGATTTCTCCCTCTAATACTTGGCGCTATTTCCTTTCAGCGAACAGCCGGAGTCCATCATTGGGATCGACGGAAGAAGTCCACGGCGCGACTCTCCGTCCCCCTAGGAACCACTTCCTGAAAGTTCTGTGGCTGCTGTACCTACCATTCACTCTTGTCTTTTACTTTACGATTCCTGACTGCCAGAGGAAAGACCGACGGAAATATTTCGTCCTCACTTTCATAATCAGTACCCTGTATATCAGCGTTGCCTCCTATCTTCTCGTCTGGATGATAACCATCATCGGTAATTCTACGATCCTCATCTATTCATCGAAGCGTGAGCTGTCAAAAGGATTTGAAGTCATGGAGAACCTCCGGCTAATTTCAGGTTTCACGCTGAGTGTCTCGGATACGGTAATGGGTTTGACTTTCCTCGCCATTGGTGTAACGTTACCCGATATCGTGTCAAGCTTGCTAGTGGTTCGCAAAGGTCTCGGAGATATGGCGGTGTGCAACGCTCTGGGTTCCAACATATTCGAGATCCTGGTTGGGCTCGGACTCCCCTGGTTGATTAAGACTACCATCATTGAGCCCGGCGTGCCGATTGTTGTGGAAAGTAAAGGTAATACGGCTTCTATCGTTCTCCGTCTGATCTGATCACTCCGCTGCCTTCGCCTTCCAACGGAAAGGACTTTGCAGGAATGCTGTACTCAACGGTTTCATTGTTGGCGACCTTGGTCTTTCTGATAGCCCTCACACACTGGAACAATTGGCGCATGAACAAATTGTACGGCGCGATACTTATGGCTTGGTATATGGTGTTCCTGGCGCTGTCGAGCGCGTACGAGCTTGGTGCCTTCGGAGACATCAAGCTACCCGCCTGTGAAACAGCATTCTGATCCCGTCAACTGGCGTCCGCAGCGATCGCCGTCCTCCCCGAACTTGATCTTCTCAAAACGGAATTATCTATAAGCATTTCAACTGCCATTACGTGCCATTCCCCATCCCTCCCGAAATCGAGCGTTCCGATTTCGTGTCATTCGTGACTAATCACATCCGATCGATACTTGAATGCAATAAAGCCGATCCATGTCTGCTTCGTGCCACATCAGTGGTTTCCATGCAGACTTGATTATGAAGGGGACGATGTCCGAGAAGTTCTGGAAAGTGGACCTTTATTTCGCTTGAAACATAGTCCGTATCAAATAGTACGGAGCTTCCTCCGAAGCCTCACGTATCGTATCTGTCGCCACGCTGCAACCTCCTCAGCATAGTATGTACACATGATTCGAGCTCTCGGAAATTGAATAGAATCACTCAGAACATCGAAAATACGATGAGCCGTGATCCGATTCGACCAAACATATCATCGCAACGACGTAAATTTTGATATGCTACAATCGGCGAGACAATGGAATAATTTCACCTCGACGCTCCCAGGCATACTATAAACAACACCCTCATTGCTTCCGGGAGTCAACCTACACCTCTCGGATAGAGCGTATTGTCAAAGAACATCCTTGAATTATTATTGAACCGAAGGGTCGCATCTTTACCAAGTATGATCCCCCGATGCACCAGAGTCCGTCATTGGGCTTCACACAATCCAACGAAAACAAATCCTGGATCCAATTGATACAAAAAAAACATACACTCAATACTCAAAAGATAGTACATCTATACATCTACCTCGATGCTTCGAACGAAAGTATGGAACAGCATGGTAAGGAATTGTCTGACGCAGCGAGATGCGACGAGAAGCTCCCTCGCACATCATTGGTCTCGAATTCCCCCGGATATCCGGAAAATGAGGGAAATCAGCTCAACTCAGAAGAATCTCGCGACTCTGAATTAGAAGGAGGCTTCGTTTTTTTTTCCTGACCCTGTTGAGCGTGATTTTTGTGTTTCCGAACTACGATGAAAAAATACTCCATGGATCGACTCACCAAATCGTGTGAACTGCTCCCCGCGGTCAATCGATTCTTCTTTTAAATACAATATTCGGGTAAATATAAATATCTGTATATATAATTATATCTCCCGACTCCTCCAGCTCTCCCATCGACCCCGCAATACGCAATACATGCCCTGTTCATAAACCAAGCGGGGGCCGCAAATTCAAGGTACAATTTTTTGTGCTCGGTTCGTTCTAGAGCCTAACGTCCGAGTGACATTGCCCATGTTGAGAGTCCGGCCAGGCATCGGACGTGTGCTGCTTTTTCGCCTTCATAGTTAGTGCCCTGTTCGACTATCCTTCAACTCTACACGACTGCAGACGATATATGTATGCATCGACTATTGTACCATATCGTGTCCGAGTGTACATTAAGTAAAAACTTGGATGACGCCGAATAACTATACTGGCGGGTGTCCTTGCTCGTACCGCAGTTGGGGTCCGAAGGAACTCTGCCAAGAGTTGCCCACATCGCAGCAATGAGGCTCCATCAAATAGGCCACGCAATACAGCATCACCAGGGCGACCTGGGGGAATTGCAGGACTTATAAACGTGGAAATAAGAAGCTTCCTGCCGGCTTCGATAAATCGAGATGATTCGGTAGCTTCGCTCTCGTGTTCCCCCGGCAGGGAGTCTGAATATATCGGCGGTTTCGCAGAACTCACTTGAAATGGCAGGGCTGCTTTGAAAATTCGCCAGATCGAATTCCCTCCTCGAGACGTTTCCTCTTCACTCTCGTAGGTCGAGTCATAGTCTTGATCAACTTCCATTGCACTCAAGTTGATTGTTGAAGCCAGATCCGGAATATCGGCGACGCTGGGCTTGCACAACTCCCTAAAAAGAAGATGAAGAAGTGCGTGTTGAGACTTGAGACGAGACGCGCTACGCGCTACGAGTTCATTATGCTGTGACTCCACAACTGATTCGTCTGCAAGGGATCTCCTGCCAAAACTTACATCTGGGTGAAGGCCTCATATATGAGCGACGGCTCAGTACTATCCAAGTCTGTGATCTAGACACAAGGGAGAAAGCTAAATTAAATATTTGGAAGAGATTTTGCTTTTTTTGCGGAGATCTGTCCTCCAATCCATGAAACTATATTCCGCTCGGGGACGAGTCGGAGAGCGTATAGGGCATACCTTTGGACTGAAACTCTTTCTCGCATCTTTCAGAATATTCCTGCTCTGCTGAAGTTCTGTCAACATTTGGCAAGTTCTGCAGAAGGGAAAGCGACTCGGTGGTTAGTGGGCCCTGGGAGAGGTCTTCGAGAGGCCATTGACAAGATGGAATTTAATGCCGAAAAATCCGTCGCCGGTTTTGTGTAGCTTATCCCTCACCTTTCGTACAGAGTATCCCAGGTGTTGTAGAGATCATGCACGCTGGCAGTCAGTAAGTTCTGTGGATCATCTTTACTTGCCGCCAACCGATGGACTTTCACTTTGACGAACAAGAGCGACGATTTCAGAGGCTGCAGATTCGCAAGTATTTTCTGTCCGAACAACGAGGAAAATTTTAGAGAAGGTTCCGAGCAGTCTTATTATTCAGCAGAACCTTCTACGGCACTTTCCGTCTCATGGATATTTCATCGGGGACTATGACTGCGTTCGGCCGCGAACCCGGTAAGATTTCGCTTACCTTCAGAGCGGCGATTCGTTCGTCGAGTTTCCGGCAATCTGTGCTGCGGTCGTCCAGTGATTCGAGTCCGCTCAACAAACATTCCATTTGGGACATTTCATCGCGGAGCTTGTCGATGTCTTCCCTGACGTTTTCATCCCTATGGGGAGACTTCTTGAAAAGACTGCTCCCGATTTTGTTGTTGTCGCTCAGGTTCATCTTCTCTCCATTGAGCGTCGAATCCCTCGACTGGATGTCACACAGCAGCAATTGCCATCTCTCGATCAGTTCACGGAGTAGTTCCGATGAATCCGGCGCGATGGAGATTCTGATCTTAATTATTTGAAGGCACTGGAGGTGTGAAAGGCATGTCGCTTCCATCTCGCTCTGGAATTCCCCAGACGGCAGGAAAATTATATTTCATCTCGAGGAAGCTCCCAATCACGAGCCACGAGGTGTCATCTTGAGCCGAATTTGGAGTCTTCCGTTTTCTGAGATTTCATTGCCCACCGTTATTTACTCACCAACTTATCCGGAGACAACAAATTGTTCGACTTCGGAGATTTTCTGACTGAATTTGAGACGTAAGCAAAAGCTTTACTTGAGCGAGTCAGCATTTCATTAACGTCTTCTTTGACCACGTCCAACGCTTGGTCTTCCTTCATTTTTTCCTGTTCGCTTTCGCTGTCGCGTATCGAATCTTCGGAGCGGATTCCGGTTTTCTTCTTTCCGCTTCGCACTCTCAAGCCGCTCAGCGAAGAGGTGTCGGATGTGGAGCCGATGAAGGATCGGTAGTCATCGCCGAAATTTAAGAGTCTTTTCACGGTCTCATCATCCATCTCTTTCTCGGAATAGTGTTCCGAATAGTAAAGCGGATCCTGATAATCATCCCACATGTTATCCGAAGAAACCACTGATCCTTGATCCCCGGGGCATTTTTTCTCGGACTCGCTGACCGCCTGATGGGTCGGGACCTTCGGAGGGAGAAAAGAAAACTCAGACGAGCCGTACAGAAAATTCTCGCGATAGTCAGTCCATGCTCTTCCGATTGTCGTCGTAATTACCTGTGAACCCGTCTCGTTGGCACTCGAGTAGCCGGTGCACTTGCTTTTAGCTTTGAGGATTTTCGAACCGAGGCGCTTCTTTCGAACGGGTGTGGTTTTCTCTTTCGTGCTCGTCGGGAACGCTTCACAAAGATTGATGAGCGATGTGGTCGAAGGATTCTTTTTGTGGACCGTTCCAGTGGTCACGCTGACGTTGTCCTCGGACTCGGAGCCCGACAGGGCGGACTCCCTAGCTTTCGAGGCTCGGCTGTGTCGTTTGCGTTCGGCGGCGAAACCCGTCGCGATGCTCGAATCGTTCAAAGCAGTCATGGAAGTGCTGGTGGAAAGAGCTGATCGCAGAGAAGAGCTGTTGCCGATCTGTCCCTGTAATTCAGTGACGCTCCAAGGCCTATCTCTTGAGCGACGTTTTTGACCACTCCGCAGATTAACCTTTGGCGGCTTCTCTGAATCGGCAGATGGCATTGTGAACGCAAGCGCTGCAGTTGGCGTCGTTGTGATAGTTTCGACCGACATGGCGGCATTCAACGTATTCGTCGATTTCTGTCGATCGTCGCTATCGCTGTCACTTTCGGATTCGTTGGTCAGTTCACCGCTCGCATCACAACTGTCTTGTTGAGTCATTTCTTCATCCTCTTGCGTCACGTCTGCCTCTACTATCGGCCTCCGTTGTTCGCAACTCTGCAGCCATTCTTTCACTCGAGTCGCTTTGTTCTTCGGATTATTGTTGTTGCTGTTGTTGTTCTCACTGCGTTCGTCAAACTCTAGAGGGGCGAAAAGACGCGAGGCGGGCTTACGTCGAAGTTGAACAACCTGATCGTCGATGGTGACCGAGTGCGGCTCCGTCAGAGGAGAGCACGATTCTGGAACAGAAACGAACTCAGCGATCCGTCAAAAGAGCCTTCGACGCCGAAAACGCGAATCCTTCAAAAATTGGTTGGCCGAGCCCGAGCTCACCGGAATATACATATGTAGCCCCCCGAACCCACCTTTCTCTGAAGTGAGCGTATCGTCCAGGTCGGTAGGCTTCGTCGGTTCACCATCGCTGTCGACGATCGGTGTCGTCAGCGTGTAGAAGTCCGCCGCTGAACCCGAGATCCGGAGACCGGGACTGGAAATGTAGTCTTCGTCGATCACTTCCTTCAGAGTGTCGTCGATCGGCGAACACTTTGAAGACAAGGGGAACTTTCGGGGTGAGCCCCCTCCGCTGAGACCGGAATCCCTCGACGGCATGTCGGGACTCTCCGGCGTTGTACTTTCAGGTGTGAACGAGTAGATCCGTATGAGATCGGGTTTTTCCTCTGCTGATAACTGCGTCGAGCTCTCCGAGCTGTACCCAACATCTTGACCCTGGAAACGGGGGATGTAGAGAACTCTTTCGTTTCCCGTTCCGAGCATCCGATTTTCGGTGACCGCTCGAGGGTGTGACAGACAAATCCGGAGTTGCGAAAAAAAATCTCACGTACCCCTTCGTAATTCCCCGACGGTGGTCGCTTGAGTTGGGTCGCGTACGGCTGACTTCCAGCGGCGGCCCCGTCCTACGATTGAACGCAAAAGTATGATACTCAAACCTCCATCGTGAGAGCTCTTGTGCCGGCTAAATATACGTTCACAGTTCTCGACAGACGCTCGGACAGCCATACCTGATTCAAAATCTTGTGTTTCAGCGGGGTGTGATGTTTCGGGTCGGTGAGCGACTTTCCGAAAACTTCCATGTTGTCTGTCATGCCCCGAGGTTCTTGTAGACCTCTAGGGTTCAATGTGAGGTCGAGACGAGGCAGCTTGTTCCGTGGCTCATCCCACGTGTCTCCCGACGATACAGACGGAGTTGCCTAGAAGCGGAGGGAACAACTTCAGGGAAGAGCTTCATGTGCTTTCGCACGCCGCTGATTGAGTTGATTTTATTGACCGCAGTCGACTCCACCTGTCGTCGACGGCCATGAATGTGTACCGAGGTTCTCAAAAGACGAAGGTCGCTTGTCCCGGAGTCGGCTCGGGTTCCTCGAAATTCGATAACGACGGATTGACGATTGTTTTCACTTACCGCGACGGCTTGGTCCTGCTGAGAGTCCAGAAGCTGCTCCACCAGACACTGCCACTCGAGACTCGTCAACCAAAGCGTCTGCCACTTCTTCTCGAGAAAACCAACGGTTCGCGCCACGCGATCTAAGCCGAAGCCGATACGAGATACCCGAGTGTTGGCTCCTTCAGAGACTCGGAGTTGCTCACACCGTCTCAACAGACTTTTCACGAGATGACCTTTTGATTCGATTTCGGCTTGGATTGTCTGAAAAAAAGCGGAGAAAGAGAGGTGTATTTCAAAGGAAGCATCGAGTACAGTAGTCCGACGCGACGGACGCGATCCGCATTTGTTTACGTAAGCTCGTCGTGAATAGTTTCGTATGAGTGTCTTGATTGAATTGAAGCGGCAACCGACCGACCGATCGCTTACGTCCTCGGCCCGCTTCGCTACGAGTGGCTGGGAGAAAATACTCGATACACGTGTTCTGTCTTATGCAACCTTCCTAATACACCGTAGAAATGCCTTGAGTGACCACAAGACAGTTAGGCCCTAACCAACAAAACCACTGCCGAGTCGCGAATGATGCTCGCCCGCTACGATTGCAATGATACGAAGGGTGTAATGGCCTTCTGCGAATCATCACCGTCATCGGTTAGTTGCTCTGAGGGAATCAGGATTTTTCTAGCTTTTGTTTCGTCACGATAGCCATAGGCTATTCATCAATAAGCAGCGACCGCTTCAATATCCATTCAACGACAAGAGACACTCGAGCCCGAACCTTCGGGATCATGCGTGCGGGATCTGACCCATCAAGACAAATCCTCCCGCTGAACGAAAGGAATCTTCCTGCTCTACCCTTCAGTCGACGAACCGCTTTCACTTATCGATCCGGATTAACCCCCTGGACCCTGGACGCGCGATGAATATCGGAAACGCAACGCATAAACAACGCGAGCCATGGAAATATTTACAACGCGAAAAAAGAAAACACATGGCGGCTGAAATATTGAGGCTTCGATGATCATTTTACGAGGGAGTTCTGATGACAAGGCGGTCACCGTTCCAGTCAACAGCTCGCTGATAATGATGACAACCGATCGGACCTCCGGCGAAGTCAATTGGCAACGATCCAGCCGACCCCGATGAAGTTCCCGCTGGCGTATCGTCTCACGCACAACCGCAAGACGATGCTAGCTCTCGTCGGATTTTTTCTGCCGCACAACCGGAGACATCTGGGGTTTTTCGAATCCTCCTCTCGCAGACTACAACTCTGAAATCTTCTCGTGGAAGACGTCGGGCAAAACTGCGAACGGCTGAACGTATTCCGCCGGTTACCGGATGCGGTCCCGTTCAGGAGAAGAACAGGACTATGCAAATCAACAAGAATTATTACCCCGCAGCTTCCGTCCGCGACTGGTTCGCGATCACCCACAACCACCGAGCGCAGCGAGGTTATGCCTCGTGTATGACACGGAGACTAAAAATCCGAGCGTGCTCCGACACACGTAGCGAGAGCTTGCTCATCAAAAAAACGACCGTTGTCGTTGCTGTTTCTCCCAACTAACGTGAGTAGAAAACAGAGTACGGCAAACACGGGGCGCTCGGCTTGTCCGCGCGTTTCGCTCGATTCCTCTTTATCTTTGTCAGGCAGACAAGAAGCTAACCGTAAATTACCCGATTCTTATAAAAGAGAATTAGTAGAGACTACGCTGTTCGTCGACCACTCCAACATTCGCTATCTCGAACGTGTCGATACGTTATTATCCCTTGCTTGAGGCCCAAGAGGCCACAATTTAATTGGTTGTGACCAACGCTACTGTCTCCCCTCCACTCTCCGTTTCTAATATTTTGCCACCGAAGCGAGACTGTCCGTCCCGCTCCAATAAGGGGGACTCTTTCGAGCTCCATGTTGAAACTATCTCTCGATCGTTGAAGATCCGGCGGGGATTACTGACTTTTTTATATTTCGGGGAATGACTTCATGGTACATCTGGACGGATTGAAGCTCTCATGCCTTGATGAAAGATTTTTTCAGCAAGTCGGAACGAAAGCGTCCCCGGTGGAAAGTTTATACGTCGTATAGCTTAGACGCTATCCGGTCCAGATCGCTGTAGGTCCTGGGACGGAGGCCTTGACTAATCCATCTACATCCCGATGGTTGAATTTCCTACGAGTAATTACACGGAAAGCGAGCTCGCCGCCGCACGGCTTGATGGAACGTTTGACGTGCCGTCGATTTTCTCTCGATCGGCTTCCGATAGGTCATGGAAGGCTCGCTCAGTCCCTAAAATACTGCGGATATTCAACTAAATGCCGCGTCGTCATTCAGAATGGTTTTCATTGAAGAGCAGCTGGGATCGACAATCAAGAAGCTCTGGAACGTCCGAAAGGCGCCGGTCGAGACGATCGGGCCGTTTTTCCTCGATTTCTCCTCGGTTTTCCCCTCCACGACACGAGCGTATGTCTTGCGAGTGGGGAGGAGAAATGCCATTCGGGAAAGATCGCGAGTTGCGGCGAGAAAAAAAGGAAAAAACTTTTGACGTTGAGATATGAGCCGTTTTCTGAAGGCAGTCGAAGCATAAGGCTTCTCCCCTTCTACGATGTCGCACGAAGCCTTGGCCGACTGAACGAACACCTCACTTCCTCAACATTTCGACTCGAAAAACCCATTTAACGTCATGCCGCTCCGCTTCGATTACCGGATCTTCATACCGCTGGGCCCCTGGATGTGGGTGGATTTTTCACGCAGCAGATCCGGAGGCAAGGGATTCGAAAAAGGGAAAAGAGCGAGCCGATGCCGTTTTGTCAAGCCGGGCGCCCGTTGAAAGTGAACGAATTCGTGACGTGAATCCAATACATTATACGGTACAATGAGTTCGGGAAGAAAGCAGCGCTCACGGCATGCTCAACAACCCGAAGATGTTTGTTTGAAAAAAAAATACTGACACGTAACAAACAGAAAGATAACGTGTGAGAGGCGAAATCCATCACAGCAGAGTAGAGCTTGCCCGGCGCATCAAGCGCACGCTTCGGGGAAATGAATCTCAGCGGATACAGCTCCGCGACAAGTGTGTCAAGGCTGTAATCAAATTTCACTGAGTAAACGAGGAGGAAAAACTCCCCGGCAAACACAGGGTCGACGCGATTGAGTCCGGTCAGAGAATCAAATACACAAGTAAGGAGACAGCATTTGTCATCCGCCGTTGAATCACGAAGACCGGCATCGATATCGAAAATTGAGTTGAGCATCCGTAGACCCAAGTCCGGTCGTTCCCTAAGTCCGTTCCGCTCCAGTGGGTCCGTTCGAAAAAGACCAGACACGTTCATGGAAACAATGCTGTTCATCAGCAACGAACGGACTCTCGGGGTGCGGAGGAGTTCGCTAAATTACGACATCAATAGCGATAGAAGCGAAAAGGGAATCACGACGAACTCATGAGTCGTAGCGTTCAGCTGTGAAAATGAAGGGACCACTCCTCGTTGGGATGCAGCCGGGCAAGGGGCAAATGAATCGTGAGCAATGGTCTTTTCACGAAGTTACTCACAATAGGTAACAAAGAAGTTCTCAAGCAGCGGGCTCGGATGCTTCAACGCATCCGAGCGGTCAGGGCACTTTATGGCTTTAATTCCGCTGCGCAAATTATTTCCTGGTCGCAATGGTGCTAAATACAGTGCCGCCAGCAGCTGGAGCGACGCTCAACAGAAATGAACATTGGCATCGCTAACGACAAGTCGTTCATCGACGTGGGGCGAACTCATCATCGCCGCTCTGCGGATTCGTCACTGCGTCACGGAGTCGTCAACGTATACTGAAAAGCGATCGCGCTCGACGTCGTCTTCATAACGGCTTTCCTGGATTATTTGAACCATCAAGCCTTCGAGGGATGTCTTCGAAAAAAAAGCGTAGCGACGAAAAAATATTTCTTTTTCTCTTTGTGCCAAGGAGATTTGAAGCACCATGGAGAAACACCTGATTCGGATACCCTTGGCTACTTTCCTTTTTCTCTTTTTCGAAACTTCCGCATGGTCTCGCAAGAGGAGAACAGTAGATATAAACGAGCAATCGAAAGCGCGGACAGACGACAAGAGCTTCTCGACGTCGGTTGAGGGCCTATCGGCTGAGAGTTATGTCTCTCGTCATTGGAACTTCGACGGGGCGAGCTCTGAGCGTATCCGTTCCTCTTCGCTCAAGTACGGTGGAGTTGGACCCCGGTCCGGAAGCCGGCCGAAATTATTGAAAGAAAAATCGCCACCCTCGTCACTGAGACGTGATTCCCTCGAGAAGACGGTCTCCCTTCCTCGCGTTCTCCCGCTTCTGTTCTGGTTGACAGCATGGCCCGACGGGAGCCATGAGCGAACACAGATGTCGAAAGCGCTTCATACACTATGCCCGACCCGATCTTTCCCACTAATCGAGAAATCGGAGGGGAAATTTTAATTTACCGTCTCACAAAAGGCAAAACAAACGCTTTTGGGTCGCGTGGGAGTCATTGTCAACGGATGTGCTCAGTTCTGCCTCACCCAGATTGATTTTCTAAACAGTTTACTTCTTTGCGGGCCAGACCCGCGCTATATTCGACGCGATCGTCCAGCCCGGGAGTCTAAGGCGAGGAAAATGACGAAGCTTAGCAAGAGTTGGGTGTTGGGTCGGTCATCGGAGACTTCAAGCCGAAAGCGTCTTCTCGTTTTCTTGCGGCGAATTTCCAAACTCTTTGAGCTTACCTGGAACAAAAACACGTGACGTCAGTTTCGTTGCAAAAACACGAAAAATGCATTCACTCATTTACGATCGGAGGAAAACTCCAAGGAAATGAAGATCCCCTGGCCGAAGGCGGCCAACGGCGGGCGATGAACACGGCTACATGAGACCGCTGTCAAATTTGAGTTTTATGGCTAGCCATTACTGTTTCTGTGTATAAATATCGGATGAGATGGGCGGAGTGGCCGGCCGGACAGCCTGAGGAGGGCTCAAGGAACGCGACCGGGGAATATATCTCCGAGTGCGTATGTTCCGAGTGGGGTTCGCTCGAAATGACAGCCCGTCGACGAATGCGTATCTTCTTTTGTCGCGTCGAGCAACGACGAGTGTTTAGTTTCACTGTAACAGGCATCGCATAAGAGGCCTCGCTTTCTTGAGATCTTATCGCAGCAATCGATTACATTTGTGCCACCCGAAACAACCCGTGGTTTTGGAGAGTTGGTGTTGTGAACGTTTGTCGGACGGCGTCGTTCGAAACACAGAACCGCCACCGGTTGTCGGCTCG